GCGGGAATCGAACCCGGGTCGCCAGGTTCATAGCGCAGCGCGCTAACCGCTACACTACCGCTACACAGACAGACACACACTCACACACAGACAGTCACAGACAGACACACACACAGACACCTACACACACACTACACACACAGACACACCTACACACACGCACTACCACCAGTAGTAGTGATGGTGATTATGGTGATGGTAGTGATGATGGTGGTAGTGATGGTGTTGGTGATGGTAGTGATGGTAGTGATGATGATGATGGTAATGATGATGGTAGTAGTGATGGTAGTGATGGTAGTAGTGATGATGATGGTAGTGATGGTGTTGGTAGTGATGATGGTGGTAGTGATGATGGTAATGATGGTAGTAGTGATGGTAGTAGTGATGATGGTAGTGATGATGGTAGTAGTGATGGTAACTCCAATAAAGACTTCCTTGCAAGGATTTTGTTTCGCTACAACGCCCCCTGCGTGGTGCCGAGTCGGTGGTGTGGAGGTGGTGTTGGTGGTGATGCGGTGGTGGTGTTGGTGTGGTGGTGATGCGGTGGTGGTTTGGTGGTGGTGGTGGTAGTGTGGTGTAGGTGGCGTGGTGGTGCAGGAATAGTTGTGGTGGTGGTGGGGTGACTGTGGTGGAGGGGTGGTGTTGTGGTGGTGGTTTCGTGTTGGTGGTGTGGTGGTGGTGATGGTTTGGTGGTGGTGGTGTGGTGGTTGTGATGGTGGTGTTGGTGATGATGCGGTGGTGGTGATGATGGTGATGATGATGCGGTGGTGGTGATGATGGTGATGATGATGCGGTGGTGGTGATGGTGGTGGTGATGATGGTGGTGGTGGTGATGTTGATGGTGGTGATGCGGTGGTGGTGTGGTGGTGATGCGGTGGTGGTGTGGTGGTGATGCGGTGGTGGTGGTGTGGTGGTGATGCGGTGGTGGTGGTGTGGTGGTGATGCGGTGGTGGTTTGGTGGTGGGGTGGTGGTGGTGGTGCAGGAATAGTTGTGGTGTGGTGGGGTGGCTGTGGTGGAGGGGTGGTGTTGTGGTGGTTTCGTGTTGGTGGTGTGGTGGTGGTGTGGTGGAGATGTGGTGGTGGTCGTGTGGTGGGGAGGTGTGGTGATGGTTTTGTGGTGTGGTGGTGGTGTGGTGGAGATGTTGTGGTGGTCGTGTGGTGGGGAGGTGTGGTGATGGTTTTGTGGTGTGGTGGTCGTGTGGTGGTGGTGTGGTGGTCGTGTGGTGGTGGTGTGGTGGTCGTGTGGTGGTGGTTTGGTGGTCGTGTGGTGGTGGTGGTGTGGTGGTCGTGTGGTGGTGTGGTGGTGGTGTGGTGGTCGTGTGGTGGTGGTGGTGTGGTGGGGAGGTGTGGTGGTTGTGGTGGTGGTTTGGTGGTGATGGTGGTGATGTAGTTGTGTGGTGGTGGTGGTGTGGTGGTTGAGTGTTGGCGGTGGTGTGTGGTGTCGTGCTGTTGGTGGTGGTGTGGTGGTTGTGATGTGGTGATGTAGTGGTGGTGGTCTGGTGGTGTGGTGGTTTTGATGGTGATGATGATGGTGGTGATGATGGTGGTGATGGTTATGATGATGGTGGTGGTGGTGGTGGTGATGATGGTGATAATTATGATGGTGGTGGTGATGATGGTGGTGATGGTGGTGATGGTGGTGATGATGGTGGTGGTGATGGTGGTGATGATGGTGGTGATGGTGGTGGTGATGGTGATGGTGGTGATGATGGTGATGGTGGTGATGGTGGTGGTGATGGTGATGATGGTGGTGGTGGTGATGGTGGTGGTGATTGTGGTGATAATGGTGATGGTGGTGATGGTGATGATGGTGGTGATGGTGTGTGTGTGAGCTGGTATCATCTGTGATGATGGTGGTGATGGCGGTGATGGTGGTGATGGTGATGATGGTGATGATGATGGTGATGATGGTGGTGATGGTGGTGATGATGATGGTGGTGATTATGATGGTGGTGATGATGATGATGGTGGTGATGATGATGGTGGTGATGGTGGTGATGATGATGGTGGAGATGATGGTGATGATGATGATGATGGTGTGTAAGCTGCTATAATTTGTGATGGGCCAGGTCGCTTCACACAGCAGCTCATTGGGGCCTTACAGCTGGCAACAATCAACAGAGTTATCTGAATCAATATTGTAATCTTTATAATCTATAATTGTATGATAACGTAATGCAACGCATATTCATTATCATAATTTATGCGCAACAATATATGCCTACAAACAGCTGCGTGGCCAAATCCTTTCATTATCATAATTTATGCGGGTAGAAATTGTTTGGCTGTATCGGGACATGTAATTTATGGTAATTTATGCGAAAGCAGTCATAATTGATGCGGTGGGTCAGAACAATATTCATAGCTGCATGATTAATGCCAATATCATTGGCATTTGTGGGGGCGAACGCGGGTGCATTATCATAATTTATGCTTGGCAGGAAACCGATTTCGCGAATTATCATAATTTATGTGCGACGTCACGCACGGCGGCTTCTGGAACCAATCAGCGGCTCGAGTAGAGGGAGGGAAAGTGGAGGGGGCAAGGGAGGAGGAGAGGGGGGAGGAAAGGGTGAGTGGAGGGAGGGGGCAGGGGAGAGAGGAGGGGGAAGGGGAGGGGCAAGGGGAGGGGCAAGGAGGGAGGTAAGGGGAGGGGCAAGAGAAAAGGGGAGGGGCAAGGGGAGAGCGGAGTGGGAAGAGGAGGTACGGGGAGGGGTAATGGGAGGGGAAAGGGGAGGGGCAAGATGAAAGGGGAGGGGCCAGACGAGAGTGGGCGTGTCGTGGTGGTGCTGCTGGAGGAGGTTGGTGATGAAGATGGCGCAGGGCTGTGCTGACCACGTGGTGGCGGACGCCGGAGCCTTCCTGCGGAACGCGCAGATGCAGGTAGACAACAACCACAACAACAACCACCACAACAACAACCATCACAACAACAACCACAACAACAACCACCACCATCAACACCATCATCGCCACGATCATCATCGCCACCACAACCACCATCACAACCACCATCACAACCACCAACATCACCACCACCACAACCACCATTGTCGTCACCATCACCACCACAACCACCATCATCGTCACCATCACCACCACAACCATCACCAACATCATCATCACCAACATCATCATCACCAACATCACCACCACCAACATCACCACCACCATCATCACCACCACCATCACCATCATCACCACCACAACCATCACCACCATCATCACCATCACCACAACCATCATGTGGTGGTGGTGGTGGTGAGAGACACGGGGGGAGAGACACGGGGGGAGAGAGACACGGGGAGAGAGAGACACGGGGAGAGAGACACGGGGAGAGAGAGACACGGGGAGAGAGACACGGGGAGAGAGAGACACGGGGGGAGAGAGACACGGGGAGAGAGAGAGACACGGGGGGAGAGAGACACGTGGGGAGAGAGACACGGGGAGAGAGAGACACGGGGAGAGAGAGACACGGGGAGAGAGAGAGACACGGGGGAGAGAGAGACACGGGGGAGAGAGACAGGGAGAGAGAGACACGGGGGGAGAGAGACACGGGGGGAGAGAGACACGGGGGGAGAGAGACACGGGGAGAGAGACACGGGGAGAGAGACACGGGGTGAGACAGAGACACAGAGAGACAGATTCACGGGGTGAGACAGAGACACGGGGAGAGAGAGACACGGGGAGAGAGACACGGGACAGAGACACAGAGAGACAGATTCACGGGGTGAGACAGAGACACGGGGAGAGAGAGACACGGGGAGAGAGACACGGGGTGAGACAGAGAGACAGAGAGACGGGGCCGTGTCACCTGTAGATAGACTTAGCCTGAACGGTGCTGTACAGTGCAAAGATGACTCAGCAAAGATACAGTGCACGTCTGTGTGTGTGTGTCTGTGTGTGTGTCTGTGCACGTCTGTCTGTGTGTGTCTGTGCACGTGTGTCTGTGTGTGTGTGTCTGTGCACGTCTGTGTGTGTGTGTCTGTGCACGTATGTGTGTGTGTCTGTGTACGTCTGTGTGTGTGTGTGTCTGTGTGTGTGCACGTCTGTGTGTGTGTGTGTCTGTGCACGTCTGTGTGTGTGTGTGTCTGTGCACGTCTGTGTGTGTGTGTCTGTGCACGTGTGTCTGTGTGTGTGTGTCTGTGCATGTCTGTGTGTGTGTGTCTGTGCACGTCTGTCTGTGCACGTCTGTGTGTGTGTGTGTCTGTGCACGTATGTGTGTGTGTGTCTGTGTACGTCTGTGTGTCTGTGTGTGTGTGTCTGTGCACGTCTGTGTGTGTGTGTGTGTCTGTGCACGTCTGTCTGTGCACGTCTGTGTGTGTGTGTGTCTGTGCACGTGTGTGTGTGTGTGTCTGTGTACGTCTGTGTGTGTGCACGTCTGTGTGTGTGTGTGTCTGTGCACGTCTGTGTGTGTGTGTGTCTGTGCACGTCTGTGTGTGTGTGTCTGTGCACGTCTGTCTGTGTGTGTGTCTGTGCACGTCTGTCTGTGTGTCTGTGTGTGTCTGTGCACGTCTGTCTGTGTGTGTGTCTGTGCACGTCTGTCTGTGTGTGTGTCTGTGCACGTCTGTCTGTGTGTCTGTGTGTGTCTGTGCACGTCTGTCTGTGTGTGTGTATGTGTGTCTCTGTGTGTGTGTCTCTGTGTGTGTGTATCACACGGTGAGGAGCGGTAGTGTAGCGGTGAGCGCGCTGCGCTATGAACCTGGCGACCTGGGTTCGATTCCCTGAACCGGTCCCGGGCCTCCCATAGGTCGACTCGGCCTCAAATGAGTACCTGGTGCGGTGTGTAAACATTGCCAATAGGGAGACAAAGGCGGTCGGGCGTGGTGCTGGCCACCCACCCCCTCGTGTGCCGTGCCGGCCTTCATAGGTGCTGCTCGCTAACAGCACTTGCCCCTACAGTCTGTTAAGGCTATATGGGGGATCTTTATCTTTGTGTCTGTGTGTTTAACTCGTGGTTTAGTGGTAATTAATTGAATGATGAAAGTTACAAGCGAGAATTTCATCATCGCTTGCGGCTGGGATTGGCATCGTCCCCGACTCCTCCTGACGTCGAGGGTAAATGGGCGAGGTTTAGGACTGTGACTCATGCAGCCGCAATGGCTGCTTTGGGTACGCGGTCCAGACCTCCCCAGAGACCCTGGCTGACAGAGAAGGTGTTCAGGATGGTTGAGAAAAAGCGACAGGCCCACTGCCATCGGCTACAGAATCCCACGTCAGAGAATGAGGAGGCTTACCGCAGCCTTCGCTCGAAGGTTCGGAGAGCCGTGAGGCGCTGCAAGGATGGGTGGTGGTCGTGATCACAAATCCCTATTTAACTCCATCAAAAAAGTAACCTGCAGCGCCACACCTATTACCATCATTAGGGGAAAAAACGGTGATCCAATCTCCGACCCCCAGGAACAGGCTTGCAGATTTGCTGAGCATTTCTGTGAGGTCCTGGGGGAAGGGAAATCCCACAGCCAGGAAAACATCGTGGCACAAAGTGAGGATGACCCTGCTGAGGCTGCGGTGCCTCAAATATTGAAATAAGTCACCCCCTGTGAGTGGCTGGCTGAGGTGCCATCTGTTGAGGAAGTACTGAAGGCGATCCGGAGTCTGAGACCAGGAAAGGCAGCGGGCAGAGATGATCTCCCAAGCGAAATGCTGAGGGAGGGCGGCGTTTGTGCACAGACTGCCCTATATGACATAACAACAGTCTGGACCACTGGACGGGTTCCGCAGAATTGGAAGGATGCCCTGGTGGTCCCCCTCTTTAAGAAGGGGGACCGCACAGACTGTAACAACTACAGGGGCATCTCACTCCTCAGTGTGCCGGGAAAGGTCCTGGCAAGAATTAGTCAACATCGCCTTGCCAGGCACGCTGAGGAGAGGCTTGCGGAGCCCCAATGCGGTTTCAGGAAAGGGCGGTCCTGCACAGATGCCATATTTTCTGTCCGTCTGCTACAGCAGAGGTGTAGGGAATTCCAACAAGACCTACATCTCTGCTTTATTGACCTGCTCAAGGCCTATGATACCATCAGTAGGCCTGGGCTCTGGGTCGATGCCCGGGTGCGGTCAAGGGATGGCTCCCTCTTCTTTGGTTCTTTCGGTAAAGTCACGTAGAATGAGAATAAAATAATAAATTGATAAAATAAAATTACACAATAATATTCTCACGACGTTTCGGCCACAACACAAGCGGCCTTCATCAGGTGAAGGGACGAGACTGTCTGGTAGGACAGCGCTGGAGTGAAAGAGCCACGTTCAGATCACGGCCTTTAAGTGCTAAAGTTGAGGCTTAAAGGCCGTGATCTGAACGTGGCTCTTTCACTCCAGCGCTGTCCTACCAGACAGTCTCGTCCTTTCACCTGATGAAGGCCGCTTGTGTTGTGGCCGAAACGTCGTGAGAATATTATTGTGTTATTTTATTTTATCAATTTATTATTTTATTCTCATTCTATGTGACTTTACCGAAAGAACCAAAGAAGATGACTCATTGCAGTCACGAAAGCTTTAAATCGGATGGCTCCCTATTGGTCAACCACGTTATGTATGCCGATGGTTTGGTAATAGCCGCTCATTCAGAGGAGGAGTTGGAGACGCTGCTGCTGAGACTGGAGCGTGCCACTAAGAGGTGGGGCCTTGCCATCAGCCCTATCAAAACTAAGCACCTGCCTGGGTATTTTGTACCATCAGACACTCCACCCCCACAACTCCCAATCGGTGATGGGGCAGTTGTGGAGAAAGTAGAGAGTTTCCCATACCTGGGCAGTGTGCTTATGACCGGCTCCAGTTTAACAGCAGAGGTCTCACTCCGAATCAGTCGAGCGGCAGTATCTTTTCATCGGTTGCGTAATGCTGTGTGGAAGCTACCTGGTCTGTCGCTCCGCACTAAGCTTCAGGTCTTCTCGGCCACGGTCATTCTCTCCCTTCTCTACGCTTGCGAAACGTGGACCCCCCTAATGGAACATCTTCGCCGGTTAGAAACATTTAGGCTGGCCTGCCTACGATCCGTCCTGGGTTTAACCAGGCTGGATTGTGTGAGGAGCTCACAAATTCCTTGAAAGATTTGGGCACGGTCCCATCAGTGAGCTCCTCCGGCAGGCAAGGCTGCGTTGGCTGGGTCATGTAGCCCGCATGCCCAGCCACCGCATGCCGAAACAGCTTTTGTTCGACTGGATCGAGGGGGCTAAACGGGCGTGGCACGGGCTAGAGAAGAGATGGAGTGATGTGGTACAGGAGAACGTGGAGCTGAGTGGACTTGCCGATGACTGGTACCAGCGGTGTCAAGATCGGCCTCTGTGGAGGAGGCTCGTGAAGGACGCTACTGGGCAGTTGGAGGTAGTCGCCCTCCAACAACAACGGAGGGCGGAGGAGCGACGCTCACAACAACGAGCGGAGCGCTGGGTGGCTAAAGCACAGCGGGTTGGCACAGTAGGGGGCACAGGTGGTGCATCAGCCAGTCATCTCAGTCAGTCGACCCGTGGCACCTGGGTCTGCCCCGTGATCTCCTGCCAGCGGGCGTTCGACACTTCACGTGGCCTCAAGGTGCACATAGTCTGGCACAACCGTCGTGGTGACGTCACCACCACTTAGTGGCGAATGGCGGTTGTTGTTGTCTGTGTGTGTCTGTGTGTCTCTGTGTGTCTGTGTGTGTGTGGCTCTGTGTGTGTGTCTGCGTGTGTGTGTGCTTTGTTTCTGTGTGTGTGTTTGTGCGTGTGGAGCGGTAGTGTAGTAGTGGTTAGCGCTACGAACCTGGTGTCCCAAGTTCGATTCCCGCTCACGGCAAACACCACCGGTGACGATTATCTGAACCGGTCCTGGGCCTCCCCTAGGTCGACTCAGCTTCAAATGAGTACCCGGTGTAGCAGTGGTGTGTAGTGAACATCGCCACTGGGGAGACAAAGGCGGCCGGGCGTGGTGCTGGCCATCCACCCCCTCATGTGCCGTGCCGGCCTTCATAGGTGCCGCTCGCTAACAGCACTTGCGCCTACAGTCTGTTACAGTCTACCTGGGGGATGTTTGTCTTTGTGTGTACCCGTGTGTTAACCCCATGTGTGTGTGTGTTAACCCCGTGTGTGTGTGTGTTAACCCCGTGTGTGTGTTAACCCCATGTGTGTGTGTTAACCCCATGTGTGTTAACCCCATGTGTGTGTGTTAACCCCGTGTGTGTGTTAACCCCGTGTGTGTGTTAATCCCGTGTGTGTGTGTGTTAACCCCGTGTGTGTGTGTTAACCCCATGTGTGTGTGTGCTAACCCCGTGTGTGTGTGTGTTAACCCCGTGTGTGTGTGTGTTAACCCCGTGTGTGTTAACCCCATGTGTGTTAACCTCATGTGTGTGTGTGTTAACCCCATGTGTGTGTGTTAACCCCATGTGTGTTAACCCCATGTGTGTGTGTTAACCCCGTGTGTGTGTTAACCCCGTGTGTGTGTTAATCCCGTGTGTGTGTGTGTTAACCCCGTGTGTGTGTGTGTTAACCCCATGTGTGTGTGTGCTAACCCCGTGTGTGTGTGTGTTAACCCCGTGTGTGTGTGTTAACCCCATGTGTGTGTGTGTTAACCCCGTGTGTGTGTGTTAACCCCATGTGTGTGTGTTAACCCCGTGTGTGTGTGTTAACCCCATGTGTGTGTGTTTGTGTTAACTCCATGTGTGTGTGTGTTAACCCCGTGTGTGTGTGTTAACCCCATGTGTGTGTGTTTGTGTTAACTCCGTGTGTGTGTGTTAACCCCGTGTGTGTGTGTTAACCCCATGTGTGTGTTAACCCCGTGTGTGTGTGTTAACCCCATGTGTGTGTGTTAACCCCATGTGTGTGTGTGTTAACCCCATGTGTGTGTGTGTGTTAACCCCATGTGTGTGTGTGTGTGTTAACCCCGTGTGTGTGTGTGTTAACCCCGTGTGTGTGTGTGTTAACCCCATGTGTGTGTGTTAACCCCATGTGTGTTAACCCCATGTGTGTGTGTTAACCCCGTGTGTGTGTTAACCCCGTGTGTGTGTTAATCCCGTGTGTGTGTGTGTTAACCCCGTGTGTGTGTGTGTTAACCCCATGTGTGTGTGTGCTAACCCCGTGTGTGTGTGTGTTAACCCCGTGTGTGTGTGTTAACCCCATGTGTGTGTGTGTTAACCCCGTGTGTGTGTGTTAACCCCATGTGTGTGTGTTAACCCCATGTGTGTGTTAACCCCGTGTGTGTGTGTTAACCCCATGTGTGTGTGTTAACCCCATGTGTGTGTGTGTTAACCCCATGTGTGTGTGTGTGTGTGTTAACCCCATGTGTGTGTGTGTGTGTTAACCCCGTGTGTGTGTGTGTTAACCCCGTGTGTGTGTGTGTTAACCCCATGTGTGTGTGTGTGTTAACCCCGTGTGTGTGTGTGTTAACCCCATGTGTGTGTGTGTTAACCCCATGTGTGTGTGTTAACCCCATGTGTGTGTGTGTTAACCCCATGTGTGTGTGTTAACCCCATGTGTGTGTGTGTTAACCCCATGTGTGTGTGTGTGTTAACCCCATGTGTGTGTGTGTGTGTTAACCCCGTGTGTGTGTGTGTTAACCCCGTGTGTGTGTGTGTTAACCCCATGTGTGTGTGTGTGTTAACCCCGTGTGTGTGTGTGTGTTAACCCCATGTGTGTGTGTTAACCCCATGTGTGTGTGTTAACCCCATGTGTGTGTGTGTTAACCCCATGTGTGTGTGTGTGTTAACCCCATGTGTGTGTGTGTTAACCCCATGTGTGTGTTAACCCCATGTGTGTGTGTGTTAACCCCATGTGTGTGTGTGTTAACCCCGTGTGTGTGTGTTAACCCCGTGTGTGTGTGTTAACCCCGTGTGTGTGTGTGTTAACCCCGTGTGTGTGTGTGTTAACCCCGTGTGCGTGTGTGTGTTAACCCTGCGTGTGTGTGTGTTAACCCCAGTGTGTGTGTGTGTTAACCCCGTGTGTGTGTGTGTGTTAACCCCGTGTGTGTGTGTGTGTGTTAACCGTGTGTGCGTGCAGGAGTTTGCCCGCACGGTGTACACACTGCGCGACGTGGTGAGCGAGATCCGCGACAAGGAGACGCGCCGGCGCCTGGCGGTGCTGCCCTACGCCCTGGTGCTGCGTGAGCCGCGGCCGGACTGCGTGCGCATCGGTACCCCGCGCACACTGTACACAGAGCGCACTGTACACCACGCACACACTGTACACTGTGTGCACTGTACACGACGCGCACACCGCGCACCAAACTGTACACCAGACTTGCATCGACACACTGCACACCGCTAACACTGCACACTGTGCACCGTACACACTGTGCACCGTACACACTGTGCACCGTACACACTGTACACCACGTGCACACTGTGCACCGTACACACTGTGCACCGTACACACTGTGCACCGTACACACTGTGCACCGTGCACACTGTGCACCGTACACACTGTGCACCGTACACACTGTGCACCGTACACACTGTGCACCGTACACACCGTGCACCGTACACACCGTGCACCGTACACACTGTGCACCGTACACACCGTGCACCGTACACACTGTGCACCGTACACACTGTGCACCGTACACACTGTACACCACGTGCACACTGTGCACCGTACACACGGTACACCGTACACACTGTACACCGTACACAACATCATACACTGCACATCGCAGTGCACACTGTACACCGCGCCGCACCCTACACTGTACATTGTACGCCGCACGCCAAACTGTACGCCGCACTGTACGCCACACTGTACGTATTTCTCCGCGTGCCCAGTGACGGAGTTCTCGCGTAAGACGGGCGACTACCCCAGCCTCTCGGCGACGGACGTGAGGGTGCTGGCGTTGGCGTACCAGCTGCACCTGGAGCACGGCGGAGGAGCGGTCGGGGTAGACGCCGCCGCCGGCAACGCCGCCGCCGCCGGGGCCGCCGCCGGCACCACGGAGGAGTCTGCCGGCACGGCGCCGGCACGGCCGGAGGGACCGCCGCCCGGCTTGCCGGGCTTCCATCTCCCTCGCCCGGTGAGCAGCGGCAGGGGGAGGGGAGGGGAGGGGGGGAGCAGGGAGGGGGGGGGAGGGGTGGGAGGGAGGGAGGGAGGGTGATCTCATGCCCACCACCCCCATCACCACCCCGTGTCTCTTGTGTGTCTCCTGCCTGCCTCCCTGTGTCTCCGTGTGTCTCCTCCCTGTCTCCTGCCTGTCTCCGTGTGTCTCCTGCCTGTCTCCCTGTGTCTCCGTGTCTCCTCCCTGTCTCCTGCCTGTCTCCGTGTGTCTCTGCCTGTCTCCCTGTGTCTCCTCGTGTCTCCTCCCTGTCTCCGTGTGTCTCCTCCCTGTCTCCGTGTGTCTCCTGCCTGTCTCCCTGTGTCTCCTCGTGTCTCCTCCCTGTCTCCTGCCTGTCTCTGTGTGTCTCCTGCCTGTCTCCGTGTGTCTCCTGCCTGTCTCCGTGTGTCTCCTCCCTGTCTCTGTGTGTCTCCTGCCTGTCTTGGTGTGTCTCCTGCCTGTCTCCCTGTGTCTCCTCGTGTCTCTGTGTCTGTGTGTGTCTCCGTGTGTGTGTGTGTCTGTGTGTCTGTGTGTGTGTGTCTCTGTATCTGTGTGTGTCTCTGTATCTGTGTGTGTCTCCGTGTGTGTCTGTGTGTGTGTCTCCGTGTGTGTGTCTCTGTGTCTGTGTGTGTGTCTGTGTGTGTGTGTGTCTCTCTGTGTGTGTGTCTCTGTGTCTGTGTGTGTTTAACCATCTTCCTTTCTCCTTTCCTTCTCCCTGCTGCTGCTGCTGTCCACTTATTGACCTTCAAACATAACAACAACAACCACCACCACCACCACCGACAACCACACGGCCCTTAACCAAAGGGCACCGTGAAGAGGAAGATGACGCACGGTGATGGGGTTGGTGGTGATGGGGTTGGTGGTGATGGGGTTGGTGGTGATGGGGTTGGTGGAGCGGTGGGCGATGGGGTTGATGGAGCGGTGGGCGATGGGGTTGGTGATGGGGTTGGTGGTGATGGGGTTGGTGGAGCGGTGGGCGATGGGGTTGGTGGTGATGGGGTTGATGGAGCGGTGGGCGATGGGGTTGGTGATGGGGTTGGTGGTGATGGGGTTGGTGGAGCGGTGGGCGATGGGGTTGGTGGTGATGGGGTTGGTGGAGCGGTGGGCGATGGGGTTGGTGGTGATGGGGTTGGTGGAGCGGTGGGCGATGGGGTTGGTGGAGCGGTGGGTGATGGGGTTGGTGGAGCGGTGGGCGATGGGGTCGGTAGTGGAGGCGCTGGCCAAGGCGCTGGTGCAGGAGGGGGCCACGCGGCCCCTCTGGCCGACCAGTTTGCCTCCTTCCTCTACTGGCGCCAGCCCCTGCCGATGGTCGACCTTCAGCTGGAGGGGCTGTCACCGGGGCCGTCACCGGGGCCGTCACCGGGGCTGTCACCGGGGACGTCACCGGGGCCGTCACCGGGGCCGTCACCGGGGCCGCCACCGGGGCCGTCGGAAGCGGCTGTACGTGGGATTGGGGGCGGCGGGAGAAGCGTGCCTGTGTGTGTCTGTGTACGTGTGTTTGCGTGCCTGTGTGTGTCTCTGTGTGTACACCCAGGACCCCATTCAAACCCACAGTGGCCTGGCCTCAGCTAGCTGATGAAAGTTGCAAGCGAGGATTTCATCATCGCTTGCGGCTGGGGTTGGCATCGTCCCCCACTCCTCCTGATGTCGAGGGTAAATGGGCGAGGTTTAGGACTGTGACTCATGCAGCTGCAATGGCTGCTTTGGGTACGCGGTCCAGACCTCCCCAGAGACCCTGGCTGACAGAGGAGGTGTTCAAGCTGGCTGAGAAAAAGCGACAGGCCCACTGTCATCGGCTACAGAATCCCACGTCAGAGAATGAGGAGGCTTACCGCAGCCTTCGCTCGGAGGTTCGGAGAGCCGTGAGGCGCTGTAAGGATGGGTGGTTGTCGCGGGTTGCTGAAGAGTCTGCCTCAGTGGCCCGCGATCACAAATCACTCTTTAACTCCATCAAAAAAGTAACCTGCGGCGCCACACCTATTACCATCATTAGGGGAAAGAACGGTGATCCAATCTCCGACCCACAGGAATGGGTTTGCAGATTTGCTGAGCAGTTCTGTGAGGTCCTGGGGGAGGGGAAATCCTTCAGCCTGGAAAACATCGTGGCACAAAGTGGGGATGACCCTGCTGAGGCTGCGGTGCCTCAAATATTGGAAGGAGTTCACCCCCTGTGAGTGGCTGGCTGAGGTGCCATCTGTTGAGGAAGTACTGAAGGCGATCCAGAGTCTGAGACCAGGAAAGGCACCGGGCAGAGATTATCTCCCAAGCCAAATGCTGAGGGAGGGTGGCATTTGTGCATAGACTGCCCTACATGACATCATAACAACAGTCTGGACCACTGGACGGGTTCCGCAAGATTGGAAGCATGCCCTGGTGGTCCCCCCTCTTTAAGAAGGGGGACTGCACAGACTGTAACAACTACAGGGGAATCTCACTCCTCAGTGTGCCTTGCTAGGCAAGCTGAGGAGAGGCTTGCGGAGCCCCAATGCGGTTTCAGCAAAGGGCGGTCCTGCACAGATGCCATATTTTCTGTCTGCTACAGCAGAGGTGTAGGGAATTCCAGCAAGACCTACATCTCTGATTTATTGACCTGGTCAAGGCCTATGATACCATCAGTAGGCCTTGGCTCTGGGTTGATCGTGCTTTTGGAGTCCCTGACCCCCTGCTCATGATCATTAAGGACCTTCATGATGGTGAGCGGGCCCGGGTAAAACTACGTGGCCGGGAGTCAGAGCCATTCCCTGTACACCTTGGGGTGCGACAGGGATGTCCTCTGGCTCCCACATTATTTAACATCTATTTTGACCACGTAGTTCATGAAGCCTTCAATAGCTGTACCGGAGGAATTTCCATCTGGTACAGATACAATGGGAGACTGATCGATGCCCGGATGCGGTCAAGGGATGGCTCCCTATTGCTCAACCATGTTATGTATGCCGATTTGGTAATAGCTGCTCATTCAGAGGAGGAGTTGGAGACGCTGCTGCTGAACCTGGCATTGCCACTAAGAGGTGGGGCCTTACCATCAGTCCCACCAAAACTAAGCACCTGCCTGGGTATTTTGTACCATCGGACACTCCACCCCCACAACTCCCAATCGGTGATGGGGCAGTTGTGGAGAGAGTGGAGAGATTCCCATACCTGGGCAGTGTGCTTAAAACCGGCTCCAGTTTAACAGCAGAGGTCTTACTCCGAATCAGTCTAGCGGCAATATCTTTTCATCGGTTGTGTAACGCTGTGTGGAAGCTACCTGGTCTGTCGCTCCGCACTACACTTCAGGTCTTCTCGGCCACGGTCTTTCCCTCCCTTCTCTACGCTTGCGAAACATGGACACCCCAAATGGAACATCTTCGCCGGTTAGAAACATTTAGGCTGGCCTGCCTACGATCCATTCTGGGTTTAACCAGGCTGGATTGTGTGAGGAGCTCACAAATCCTTGAAATGATCTGGGCAAGGTCCCATCGGTGAGCTCATCTGGCGGGCAAGGCTGCCTTGGCTGGGTCATGTAGCCCGCATGCCCAGCCACCGCATGCCGAAACAGCTTTTGTTCGGCCGGATCGAGGGGGCTAAACGGGCGCGGCACGGGCTAGAGAAGAGATGGAGTGATGTGGTACAGGAGGACGTGGAGCTGAGTGGACTTGCCGATGACTGGTACCAGCGGTGTCAAGATCAGCCTCTGTGGAGGAGGCTCGTGAAGGACGCTACTGGGCAGTTGGAGGCAGTCGCCCTCCAACAACAACGGAGGGCGGAGGAGCGACGCTCAGAACAACGAGCGGAGTGCCGGGTGGCTAAAGCACAGCAGGTTGGCACAGTAGGGGGCACAGGTGGTGCATCGGCCGGTCGTCTCAGTCAGTCGACCCGTGGCACCCGCTGGGTCTGCCCCGTGACCTCCGCACTTCACGTGGCCTCAGCGTGCACCTAGCCTGGCACAGGTGCCACGGCGACATCACCGCCACTTAGCGGCGAATGGCAGCGGTTGTTGCGTCTAATATTTTGGTCGGCAAAATGATACCCCCCCTCCTCTTCCCTTCTCGAGCCTCACCGAGTCTCACCGAGCCTCACCGATGCTCACCAAGCCTCACCGATGCTCACCGAGTCTCACCGATGCTCACCAAGCCTCACCGATGCTCACTGCTGTTCCCCCTGCTCCCCTCCCCTTCTCCCCCCCCCCGCACCGTGTTGTGAGTAGAAGCTGGCAGGGAGCTCACTGCGGGCGGGCGCTGGAGAGTTGCGCGACGGTGCCGAGGGCGGTGACGGTGCCGAGGGGTTCAGCTCCTTCGTGTTCTGGCGGAGTCCGCTGGCAAGCCCGGAGGAGCTGGACCCGGCACTGCTCATGGTGAGGAGATGGGGGGGGGGGGGGAGACGTGGGGGGGGTGACGTGGGGGTGTAGCAGTAGGAGACATGATGGGCATTGGGGTAGCGGACGCTGTGTGACTCCTCCCCCCCCACTCCCTCTCCCCACCTTCTCAGGGAATGTCGATTAGCGACCAGACCACCGCCAGCCAGCACCAGGGCCACGTGCCGGTGGATCGCACCGCCGCCGGCAACGGTGAGAGCCGCCGGGAAGCGGCCGTGCCGGAACCGCGGCTGCAGCAGCAGCAGCCGGACGTCGCCGGTGAGAGCGATAAGGAGAACGCGGTCGGCGGCGGCGGCGGCGATGATGACGAGGAGGAGGAGGAGGAGGGCGGGGGTGGGTGGATCACGCCGAGCAACATCGCGGACGTTCACCGCACGAGCACCGAGTGCGAGCCCCTGGGGCGCGTCGCCGTCGCCTGCCTCACCACGGACTTCGCCATGCAGGTGCCACCCCCGACGCTCACCGGCACCGCCGCTACCGCCGCTACTGCCACTACCGCCACCACTACCACCGCTACCACCACTACCCACCACCACTACCACCACTACCACCACCACTATCGCCACTATCACCACTACCGCCACTATCACCACTACCACCAATACCACCATTACCACCACTACTACCGCCATCACCACTACCACCACCACTACCGCCACTATCACCACCACTACCACCACTACCACCGCTACCACCACTACGACTACCACCACTACCACCACCACTACCACCACCACTACCGCCACTATCACCACTACCACCACTACCACCACCACTACCGCCACTATCACCACTACCACCACTACGACTACCACCATTACCACCACTACCGCCACTATCACTACCACCACTACGACTACCACCATTACCACCACGACCACTACCACCACCACTACCACCACTACGACTACCACCACTACCACCGCTACCACCACTACGACTACCACCATTACCACCACTACCACCACTACTACCGCTATCACTACTACCACCATCACTACTACCACCACTACCACCATCACTACTACCACCACTACCACCACCACTACTACCGCCACTACCACCATCACGACTACCACCATTACCACCACTACCATCACTAATACCGCCATCACTACTACCACCACTACCACCATCACTACTACCAGCACTAGCACTACCACCGCTACCGCCACCACTACCACCACAACCAGCACCCCCACTACCACCACCACTACCAGCACTACCGCCACCACTACCTGTGTGTATATGTATCTGTGTGTGTGTATCTGGCCTGGAACAAGCATCGTGGTGACATCACCGCCACTTAGTGGCAAATGGCGGTTGTTGTTGTATCTGTATGCACGTATGTGTGTGTGCGTGCGAGAGGCTGATCGATGCCCGGGTGCAGTCAAGGGATGGCTCCCTATTGCTCAACCACGTTATGTATGCCGATGATTTGGTAATAGCTGCTCATTCAGAGGAGGAGATGGAGACGCTGCTGCTGAGACTGGAGCGTGCCACTAAGAGATGGGGCCTTACCATCAGCCCCACCAAAACTAAAGCACCTGCCTGGGTATTTTGTACCATCGGACACTCAGGATTGGAAGGATGCCCTGGTGGTCCCCCTCTTTAAGAAGGGGGACCGCACAGACTAACAACTACAGGGGCATCTCACTCCTCAGTGTGCCGGGAAAGGTCCTGGCAAGGATTATTCAACATCACCTTGCCAGGCACGCTGAAGAGAGGCTTGCGGAGCCCCAATGCGGTTTCAGGAAAGGGCAGTCCTGCACAGATGCCATATTTTCTGTCCGTCTGCTACAGCAGAGGTGTAGGGAATTCCAACAAGACCTACATCTCTGCTTTATTGACCTGGTCAAGGCCTATGATACCATCAGTAGACCTGGGCTCTGGGTTGTTCTTTGTGCTTTTGGAGTCCCTGACCCTCTGCTCACAATCATTAAGGACCTTTATGATGGTGAGCGGGCCCAGGTAAAATTACGTGGCAGGGAGTCAGAGCCATTCCCTGTACACCTTGGGGTGCGACAGGGATGTCCTCTGGCTCCCACATTATTTAACATCTATTTTGACCATGTAGTTTGTGAAGCCTTCAATAGCTGTACCGGGGGAATCTCCATATAGCCGCTCATTCAGAGGAGGAGTTGGAGATGCTGCTGCTGAGAATGAAGTGTGCCACTAAGAGATGGGGCCTTACCATCAGCCCCACCAAAACTAAGCACCTGCCTGGGTATTTTGTACCATCAGACACTCCACCCCCACAACTCGCAATCGGTGATAGGGCAGTTGTTGAGCGAGTGGAGAGTTTCCCATACTTGGGCAGTGTGCTTATGGCCGGCTCCAGTTTAACAGCAGAGGTCTCACTCCGAATCAGTCGCGCGGCAATATCTACTAAGCTTCAGGTCTTCTCGGCCACGGTCATTCCCTCCATTCTCTACGCTTGCGAAACGTGGACCCCATTAATGGAACATCTTCGCCGGTTAGAAACATTTAGGCTGGCCTGCCTACGATCCATCCTGGGTTTAACCAGGCTGGATTGTGTGAGGAGCTCACAAATCCTTGAAAGATCTGGGCAAGGTCCCATCGGTGAGCTTCTCCGGCAGGCAAGGCTGCGTTGGCTGGGTCATGTAGCCCGCATGCCCAGCCACCGCATGCCAAAACAGCTTTTGTTTGGCCGGATTGAGGGGGCTAAGCGGGCGCGGCACGGGATAGAGAAGAGATGGAGTGATGTGGTACAGGAGGACGTGGAGCTGAGTGGACTTGCCGATGACTGGTACCAGCGGTGTCAAGATCGGCCTCTGTGGAGGAGGCTCGTGAAGGATGCTACTGGGCAGTTGGAGGCAGTCGCCCTCCAACAACAACGGAGGGCGGAGGAGCGACGCTCACAACAACGAGCGGAGCGCCGGGTGGCTAAAGCACAGCAGGTTGGCACAGTAGGGGGCACAGGTGGTGCATCAGCCAGTCATCTCAGTCAGTCGACCCGTGGCACCTGGGTCTGCCCAGTGACCTCCTGCCAGCGGGCGTTCAACACTTCACGTGGCCTCACGGTGCACATAGCCTGGCACAAGCGTCGTGGTGACGTCACCGCCACTTAGTGGCGAATGGCGGTTGTTGTTGTTGTATCTGTGTGTGTGTATGTAGAATCTGCTAGTACAGATGGGTCTGCACGTGCTGTGTGTGTGTATGTATCTGTGTGTATGTATCTGTGTACGTGTGTAGAATGTGCTGGTACAGATGGGTCTGCACGTGCTGTGTGTGTGTATGTATCTGTATGTATGTATCTGTGTGTGTGTATCTCTGTGTATATGTATCTGTGTGTATGTATCTGTGTACGTGTGTAGAATGTGCTGGTACAGATGGGTCTGCACGTGCTGTGTGTGTGTGTATGTATCTGTATGTATGTATCTGTGTGTGTGTATCTCTGTGTATATGTATCTGTGTGTATGTATCTGTGTGTGTGTGTGTGTAGAATGTGCTGGTACACATGGGTCTGCACATGCTGTGTGTGTGTGTATCTGTGTGTATGTATCTGTGTGTATGTATCTGTGTGTGTGTGTAGAATGTGCTGGTACAGATGGGTCTGCACGTTCTGTGTGTGTGTGTATCTGTGTGTATGTAGAATGTGCTGGTACAGATGGGTCTGCACGTTCTGTGTGTGTATGTATCTGTGTGTGTGTATGTATCTGTGTGTGTGTATCTGTGTGTATGTATCTGAGTGTGTGTATGTAGAATGTGCTGGTACAGATGGGTCTGCACGTGCTGTGTGTGTATGTATCTGTGTGTATGTATCTGTGTGTGTATGTAGAATGTGCTGGTACAGATGGGTCTGCACGTGCTGTGTGTGTGTGTGTATCTGTGTGTATGTATCTGTGTGTATGTGTGTGTGTAGAATGTGCTGGTACAGATGGGTCTGCACGTGCTGTCTGTGTATCTGTGTGTATGTATCTGTGTGTATGTGTGTGTGTGTAGAATGTGCTGGTACAGATGGGTCTGCACGTGCTGTCTGTGGACGGGATGCTCATCAGGTCCACACGCTCACACGTGCTGCGCTGCTTTGCCTGCTTCAGGTGACAAATCCCTCACCACCTCCTCACCACTCCCTCACCCCTCACCATCCCCTCACCACCCTCACCTCACCCTCCCTCCTCCTCACAGTGATGGTGGTGATGATGACGATGACGATGGTGATGACGATGGTGATGTGATAATAATGGTGATGGTGGTGACGACAGTGACGATGTTGGCTGTGTCGGTGACTACGGTGGTGACGGTGACTACGGCGGTGACGGTGATTGCGGTGTGTGTGTGTGCGCGTGCGTACGTGTGTGCATGTGCGTACGTGTGTGTGTGCGTACGTGTGTGTGCGTGCGTGCGTACGTGTGTGTGTGCGTGCGTACGTGTGTGTGTGCGTACGTGTGTGTGCGTGCGTACGTGTGTGTGTGTGTGCGTACGTGTGTGTGCGTGTGTGTGTGTATGTGTGCGTGTGTGTGTGCGTGCGTGCAGCACCACGTCAGACACGTCGCTCGTCTTCTGCCGTGGCTGCGGGAACCGCACCCTGAAGAAGGTGGCGGTGACGCTGGGCGACGGCGGCCGCCTGCAGATGCACTTCTCCAGCAACCCACGTGTCATGAGCCACAGGGGCATGCGGGTGAGGGGGGTGGTGAGGGTGAGGGGGGTGGTGAGGGTGAGGGGGGGTGGTGAGGGTGAGGGGGGGTGGTGAGGGTGAGGGGGGGTGGTGAGGGTGGGGGCTGGGTGGTGAGGGAGTGACGCACGCACACTCACACACGTACACACACACCCACACACTAACCTACACACCCACACACTAACCAACACACACACTAACCTACACACACACTAACCTATACACACACTCATCCACACACTAACCTACACACACACTAACCTACACATACACACACACCCACACACTAACCTACACACACACTCATCCACACACTAACCTACACAACAACAACCGCCATTCGCCACTAAGTGGCGGTGACGTCACCACGACACTTGTGCCAGGCCATGTGCACCTTGAGGCCACGTGAAGTGTCGAACACCCGCTGGCAGGAGGTCACGGGGCAGACCCAGGTGCCACGGGTGACTGAGATGACTGGCCAATGCACCACCTGTGCCCCCTACTGTGCCAACCTGCTGTGCTTTAGCCACCCGGCGCTCCGCTCGTTGTTGTGAGCGTCGCTCCTCCGCCCTCCGTTGTTGTTGGAGGGCGACTGCCTCCAACTGCCCAGTAGCGTCCTTCACGAGCCTCCTCCACAGAGGCCGATCTTGACACCGCTGGTACCGGTCATCGGCAAGTCCACTCAGCTCCACGTCCTCCTGTACCACATCACTCCATCTCTTCTCTAGCTCGTGCCGCGCCCGTTTAACCCCCTCGATCTGGCCGAACAAAAGCTGTTTCGGCATGCGGTGGCTGGGCATGCAGGCTACATGACCCAGCCAACGCAACTTTGCCTGCCGGAGGAGCTCACCGATGGGACCTTGCCCAAATCTTTCAAGGATTTGTGAGATCCTCACACAATCCAGCCTGGTTAAACCCAGGATGGATCGTAGGCAGGCCAGCCTAAATGTTTCTAACCGGCGAAGATGTTCCATTAGGGGGGGTCCACGTTTCGCAAGCATAGAGAAGGGAGGGAATGACCGTGGCTGAGAAGACCTGAATCTTAGTAGATATTGCTGCTCGACTGATTCGGAGTGAGACCTCCGCTGTTAAACTGGAGCCGGTCATAAGCACACTGCCCAGGTATGGGAAACTCTCCACTCTCTCCACAACTGCCCCATCACCGATGAGAAGTTGTGGGGGTGGAGTGTCCGATGGTACAAAATACCCAGGCAGGTGCTTAGTTTTGGTGGGACTGATGGTAAGGCCCAATCTCTTAGTGGCACGCTCCAGTCTCAGCAGCAGCGTCCCCAACTCCTCTGAATGAGGAGCTATTACCAAATCATCGGCATACATAACGTGGTTGAGCAATAGGGAGCCATCCCTTGACCGCACCCAAGCATCGATCAGCCTCCCATTATATCTGTACCAAATGGAGATTCCCCCGGTACAGCTATTGAAGGCTTCACGAACTACGTGGTCAAAATAGATGTTAAATAATGTGGGAGCCAGAGGACATCCCTGTCGCACCCCAAGGTGTACAGGGAATGGCTCCGACTCCCGGCCACGTAGTTTTACCCGGGCCCGCTCACCATCATGAAGGTCCTTTATGATCGTGAGCAGAGGGTCAGGGACTCCAAAAGCACGAACAACCCAGAGCCAAGGCCTACTGATGGTATCATAGGCCTTGACCAGGTCAATAAAGCAGAGATGTAGGTCTTGTTGGAATTCCCTACACCTCTGCTGTAGCAGACGGACAGAAAATATGGCATCTGTGCAGGACCGCCCTTTCCTGAAACCGCATTGGGGCTCCACAAGCCTCTCCTCAGCGTGCCTGGCAAGGCGATGTTGAATAATCCTTGCCAGGACATTTCCCGGCACACTGAGGCGTGAGATGCTCCTGTAGTTGTTAGTCTATGCGGTCCCCCTTCTTAAAAAGGGGGACCACCAGGGCATCCTTCCAATCCTGCGGAACCTGTCCAGTGGTCTAGACTGCTGTTATGATGTCATATAGGGCAGTCTGTGCACAAACGCCACCCTCCCTCAGCTTTTCGCTTGGGAGATCATCTCTGCCCAGTGCCTTTCCTGGTCTCAGATTCCGGATCGCCTTCAGTACTTCCTCAACAGATGGCACCTTAGCCAGCCACTCATAGGGGGTGACTTCTTCTAATATTTGAGGCACCGCAGCCTCGGCAGGGTCCATCCCCACTTTGTGCCACGATGTTTTCCTGGCTGAGGGATTCCCCTCCCCCAGGACCTCACAGAAATGTTCAGCAATTCAGCAAACCTGTTCCTGGGGGTCGGAGATTGGAACACCGTTTTTTCCCCTAATTATGGTAATAGGTGTGGCGCTGCAGGTTACTTTCTTCATGGAGTTAAATAGAGATTTGTGATCACGGGCAACTGAGGCAGACTCCATCTCCTCAGCAACACGCGACCACCACCCATCCTTGCAGCGCCTCACGGCTCTCCGAACCTCCGAGCGAAGGCTGCGGTAAGCCTCCTCATTCTCTGACGTGGGATTCTGTAGCCGATGACAGTGGGCCTGTCGCTTTTTCTCAACCATCCTGAACACCTGTCAGCCAGGGTCTCTGGGGAGGTCTGGACCGCGTACCCAAAGCAGCCATTGCAGCTGCATGAGTCACAGTCCTAAACCTCGCCCATTTACCCTCGGCATCAGGAGGAGTGGGGGACAATGCCAACCCCAGCCGCAAGTGATGATGAAATTTTCGCTTGCAACTTTCATCAAGCTAACTGAGACCAGGCCACTTTAGGTTGGAAATGGGGTCCTGGGTGTACACCCACTACCGGAGTGGAAGAATGGCAGGCACATCTTACAGATGACTAGTCGATGGTCAGAGGGCAGATCAGCTCCACGGTAGGTCCAGGTGTCAAGGACATGGGCTCATATCCACTGGTCCGTCACTATGTAGTCCAGCAGATGTTATTGCTTGGACCCGGCATGCATCCATGATGTTGTGTGGATGCGCCGATGCCGGAACAGCGTGTTGGTAATTACAAGCCCATGGGCTGCACAAAAATCTAGCAGCCTCCTACCGTTGTTATTGAGCTGATCTAACCTACACACACACTAACCTACACACAGACACCCACACACTAACCTACACACACTAACCCTCAAACACACAACAACCGCCATTCACCACTAAGTGGCGGTGACGTCACCACGACGCTTGTGCCAGGCTATGTGCACCCTGAGGCGACGTGAAGTGTCGAACGCCCGCTGGCAGGAGGTCATGGGGCAGACCCAGGTGCCACGGGTCGACTGACTGAGATGACTGGCTGATGCACCACCTGTGCCCCCTACTGTGCCACACACACTAACCTACACACAAGACACCCACACACTAACCTACACACACTAACCCTCACACACACACTAACCTACACACACACCCACACACTAACCTACACACACACTAACCTACACACACACACCCACACACTAACCTACACACACACTAACCTACACACACACTAACCTACACACACACCCACACACTAACCTACACACACACTAACCTACACACACTCCCACACACTAACCTACACACACACTAACCTACACACACACCCACACACTAACCTACACACACACTAACCTACACACACACCCACACTAACCTACACACACACTAACCTACACACACACTAACCTACACACACACTAACCTACACACACACCCACACACTAACCTACACACACTAACCTACACACACACCCACACACTAACCTACACACTCACTAACCTACACACACACCCACACTAACCTACACACACACACACCTACCCACCATCCACTCGCCTACCCACTCACACACTCGCCCACGCACTCAATCAACCACCCACTCACACACTCACCCACTCACTCACCCACCGACTCACCTACCCACTCAATCAACCACCCACCCACTTACTCAACCATCCACTCACCCACCCACACACTCACCCACCCACACACCCACCCACTCGCCCACCCACTCAACCATCCACCCACCCACTCACCTACCCACACACCCACCCACTCGCCCACCCACTCAACCATCCACACACCCACTCACCCTCACACCCACTCACCCACCCACACACTCACCCACCCACACACCCACCCACCCACTCACCCACCCACACACCCACCCACCCACTCGCCCACCCACTCAACCATCCACCCACCCACTCACCCACCCACACACTCACCCACCCACACACCCACCCACCCACTCGCCCACCCACTCAACCATCCACACACCCACTCACACTCACCCACCCACTCACACACTCACCCACCCACACACCCACCCACACACCCACCCACTCGCCCACCCACTCAACCACTCGCCCACCCACTCAACCACCCACTCACACACCCACCCACTCACACACCCACTCACTCACCCACCCACCCACCCACTCACACTCACCCACCTTTGTCTCCCCCCCCCCCGCCCCCCCCAGTACTCCCTCCCGCGCCCTCAGGGTGGCAAGCATGCGGTGAACCCGGTGCTGAGTGCCGACCAGCGCGAGCCGCAGCGCCGCCAGTCGAGGCGGCAGCGTGCCCGCACCGCCGCCCTGGATGCCGACTACGTGGCCGGCGCCTCGCCCTTTGTGGCCCACGACGTCACCAGCCGGGCCGCCACTCTGCGACTGCGCGCCGATGGCGGTGCCGGCGGCGGTGCCGGCGGTGCCGGCGGTGCCGGCGGCGGCGGTGGCGGGAGGAGGCGCGCAAACCCCAACGCGGCTAGGGCCAAGTTCACCAAGAAGAATTGATGATCCACTCTCACACTCACACACACTCGTACACACACTCGTACACTCACTCATACACACACTCATACACTCATACACACACTCGTACACTCACTCATACATACACTCATACACACACTCATACACTCATACACACACTCATACACACACATACTCATACACACACATACTCATACACACACTCATACACACACACTCATACACACACTCATACATACACTCATACATACATTCATACACACACTCATACACACACACTCATACATACATTCATACACACACTCATACACACACTCACTCATACACACATACACTCATACACACACTCACACATACACTCATACACACACACACACTCATACATACTCGTACACACACACATACACACTCATACACACACTCACACATACACTCATACATACATTCATACACACACTCACATACTCACTCATACACACATACACTCGTACACACACTCACATACTTGTACACACACACATACACACTCATACACACACTCACACACACTCATACACACACTCATACACACACTCACTCACTCATACAAACAAAAACTCATACACACACTCACACATACTCATACACTCGTACATACATTCACTCATACACACACTCACATGCTCACTCATACACTCATACACACGCTCACATACTCACTCACTCATACACACTTATACACTCATACACTCACTCACTCATACACTCACTCACACACACTCACTCACGCACACACACATTCAAACGCACACACTCACACATACACACTCATACACACTCATACACACATTCAAACGCACACACACACTCACTCACACACACTCACACACTCACTCACACACTCACACACACACACACATACACTCACTCACACACACTCACACACACACTCATACACACACTCACACACTCACTCACACACTCACACTCACTTGGGTGGGGGGAGAGGGAGACACGGGGTGGGGGGGGGAGGGAGACACGGGGGGGGGGCACCATCCAGCAGTGGATAGACACTGCCTACTGCTGCGACAACGACGACCGTGACATTAAGAACTCTCGTGGACTCGAGAGGGGACGTCCACCTCCTCACGCCGACCGAAACAAAACAAATAACATTTCCCGCCAAAAAATGCTAATATCTTTTCCCGCCAAATTTTCTCCCGCCAAAACAAACTGTTCCCCCCTTCACCCCCGTGGTTGTGTTTACTTGTGTTTGTGTGCGCTTCGTGTCCCGCGAAAAAACCGTAGTCGTGTATTTATTACCCCGCCGTGTGCACCGCGAGGCTGGGCTCTCTTTAAGCGGGGAGGATATTAAACCGTGATGGTTTAAAAAAAAATAACAAAAATTCCCCTCAGAATCGCCGCGCGCAACAAAAACGAATGTCGAAATGAAACGAGACTCTTCGACTCCGCGTGTGTCTCTCAACCGCCTGCGGTGTTGTTGTTACAATTATTAAACACATTTAAGCAGCGCATCAATGAGAATCGTGATTGTGGTGGTGGTGCGACTCGATGAGAATGTTAACTACCTCGCCTGGTACGCAGGAGGTCGTGGGTTCTGATCTTGACCCTGACTATGCCTGCTCCTGCTGCTGTATATTTGGAGTCTGAATGTCTCTCATCGTTATCACGGTGGCTAGGAGATGTCAGATCATACAAACTCCACTCATTCTAGAACAAGAGATCATACAAACTCCACTCATTCTAGCACAAGAGATCATACAAACTCCACTCATTCTAGAACAAGACATACAAACTCCACTCATTCTAGAACAAGAGATCATACAAACTCCACTCATTCTAGCACAAGAGATCATTCAAACTCCACTCATTCTAGCACAAGAGATCATACAAACTCCACTCTGTAGGATAGGGGGAGATCATACAAACTCTGTAGGACAGGGGGAGATCATACAAACTCTGTAGGACAGGGGGAGATCATACAAACTCTGTAGGACAGGGGGAGATCATACAAACTCTGTAGGACAGGTGGAGATCATACAAACTCTGTAGGATAGGGGGAGATCATACAAACTCTGTAGGACAGGGGGAGATCATACAAACTCTGTAGGACAGGGGGAGATCATACAAACTCTGTAGGACAGGGAGAGATCATACAAACTCTGTAGGACAGGGGGAGATCATACAAACTCTGTAGGACAGGGGGAGATCATACAAACTCTGTAGGACAGGGGGAGATCATACAAACTCTGTAGGACAGGTGGAGATCATACAAACTCTGTAGGAGAGGGGGAGATCATACAAACTCTGTAGGACAGGGGGAGATCATACAAACTCTGTAGGACAGGGGGAGATCATACAAACTCTGTAGGACAGGGAGAGATCATACAAACTCTGTAGGACAGGGGGAGATCATACAAACTCTGTAGGACAGGGGGAGATCATACAAACTCTGTAGGACAGGGGGAGATCATACAAACTCTGTAGGACAGGGGGAGATCATACAAACTCTGTAGGACAGGGTGAGATCATACAAACTGTAGGACAGGGGGAGATCATACAAACTCTGTAGTGCAGGGAGAGATCATACAAACTCTTTAGGACAGGGGGAGATCATACTAACTCTGTAGGACAGGGGGAGATCATACAAACTATGTAGGACAGGGGGAGATCATACAAACTCTGTAGGATAGGGGGAGATCATACAAACTCTGTAGAACAGGGGGAGATCATACAAACTCTGTAGGACAGGAGGAGAGATCATACAAACTCTGTAGGACAGGGAGAGATCATACAAACTCTGTAGGACAGGGGGAGATCATACAAACTCTGTAGGACAGGGGGAGATCATACAAACTCCACTCAGCATGAAAATTAACAATAGCTGTAAGCTTGCTGACAACACCACACGTGTTGTGTTAATATGTTCAAACACCAAATTAGATACCTTTTGCAAGGAATCATGTCTTACACACACGTGACACACAGTCTTACACACAACCTTACACACAGTCTTACATAACCTTACAACCTTACACACACCGTCTTACACACATGTGACACACACAACCTTACACACACACACAACCTTACACACACACAGTCTTACAACCTTACACACAGTCTTACACACACAACCTTACACACACCGTCTTACACACATGTGACACACACACAATCTTACACACACACACAACCTTACACACACACAGTCTTACACACACACAGTCTTACACACACAACCTTACACAGTCTTAAACACACAACCTTACACACACGTGACACACAACCTTACACACACACAGTCTTACACACACAACCTTACACAGTCTTACACACACAACCTTACACACACGTGACACACAACCTTACACACATAGTCTTACACACATGTGACACACAGTCTTACACACAACCTTACACACACAGTCTTACACAGTCTTACACACAGTCTTACACAGTCTTACACACACATAGTCTTACACACACACAGTCTTACACACACAGACAACCTTACACGTGACACACACGTGACACTCATACACAGCATTACACACACGTGACACACAAAGTCCTATACACACGTGACACACAGCCTTACACGTGACACACACAAGACACGTGACACACACAGCCCTACACACACGTGACACAAGACACGTGACACACACATCCCAACACACACGTGACACACAGAAGACACGTGACACACACAGCCCTACACACACGTGACACACACAAGACACGTGACACACACAGCCCTACACACACGTGACACACAAGACACGTGACACACACATCCCTACACACACGTGACACACACAAGACACGTGACACACACATCCCTACACACACGTGACACACACAAGACACGTGACACACACAGCCCTACACACACGTGACACACACAAGACACGTGACACACACAGCCCTACACACACGTGACACACACACAAGACACGTGACACACAAGACACGTGACACACACAGCCTTACACACACGTGACACAGCCCTACACACGTGACACACACACACGAGACACGTGACACCCTCCACGCACACGTGACGCTCACCCTTCCACGGACATTGCCTCTCATCACTGTGCACACACGGACACAGACACACACAGTCACACACACACCACACACACAGTCACACAGACACACACAGTCACACACACACAGAGGAGTAATGGATCTCAAGCTATCGTAAGCGCATCGGTTTCTATAAACATACAGTACATGCATACAGTACATACAGTCTACATGCACACACACAGATACACACAGACAGACACACACAGACACACACACAGTCACACACACACAGAGGAGTAATGGATCTCAAGCTATCGTAAGCGCATCGGTTTCTATACACATACAGTACATACAGTATATGCATACAGTACATACAGTCTACATGCACACACAGATACACACAGACACACACAGACACACACACAGAGGAGTAATGGGTCTCAAGCTATCGTAAGCGCATCGGTTTATACGCACACAGTACATACATACAGTACATACACACATACAGGACATACAGTCTACATGCACATACACAGAGACACACAGACAGACACACAGACACACACACACGGAGACACAGACATACACAGACACACACAGTCCATGCATACAGTACATACACACACATACAGACACACAGTCCATGCATACAGTATATACACACATACACACAGACACACACCGTCCATGCATACAGTACATACACACACAGACACACACATATACACACACAGACACACAGTCAGACACACAGAGACTCACAGGAGCTATGGATCTCAATCGCATCGGTTTATACACACATATAGTACATACATACACACATACAGTACATACAGTATATACACATATACAGTCCATGCATACAGTATATACACACAGACACACAGACAGACACAGAGAGACTCACACACAGACTCACTTAGACACACAGCACCACACACAGACACACAACACCACACACACACCTAGGATCTCAAGCAATCGTAAGGGCATCGATTTATACACAAACAGTCCATGCATACAGTATACACACACACACATAGAGACACACAGACACAGAGAGACTCACTCAGACACACAACACCACACACACACACAGACTCACACAGACACACAGTACCACACACACAGACTCACTCAGACACACAGCACCACACACACACAGACTCACTCAGACACACAACACCACACACACATAGACTCACTCAAACACACAGCACCACACACACAGACTCACTCAGACACACAACACCACACACACCCAGACTCACTCAGACACACAACACCACACACACACACAGACACACACAGACACACAGCACCACACACACACAGACTCACTCAGACACACAACACCACACACACACAGAGACTCACTCAGACACACAACACCACACACACAGACTCACTCAGACACACAACACCACACACAGACTCACACAGACACACAACACCACACACACACAGACACACAACACCACACACACACACAGACTCCACACACACACACAGACTCACACAGACACACAACACCACACACACACACAGACTCACTCAGACACACAACACCACACACACACAGACTCACACAGACACACAACACCACACACACACAGACTCACACAGACTCACACAGACTCACAGCACCACACACACACACATACTCACACAGACACACAACGCCACACACACACAGACTCACTCAGACACAACACCACACACACACAGACACACAGCACCACACACACAGACACAGACTCACTCAGACACAACACCACACACACACAGACTCACACAGACTCACAGCACCACACACACACACAGACTCACACAGACACACAACGCCACACACACACAGACTCACTCAGACACAACACCACACACACACAGACTCACACAGACACACAGCACCACACACACACAGACTCACTCAGACACAACACCACACACACAGACTCACTCAGACACACAGCACCACACACACACAGACTCACACAGACACACACCACACACACACACACCACACACACACACAGACTCACTCACACAGATACACAACACCACACACACAGACTCACACAGACACACAGCACCACACACACACAGACACACACAGACACACAGCACCACACACACACAGACTCACTCAGACACAACACCACACACACACAGACTCACTCAGACACACAGCACCACACACACACAGACTCACTCAGACACAACACCACACACAGACTCACACAGACACACAACACCACACACACACAGACTCACTCAGACACAACACCACACACAGACTCACACAGACACATAGCACCACACACACACAGACTCACTCAGACACAACACCACACACACAGACAGACTCACACAGACACACAGCACCACACACACAGACACAGACTCACTCAGACACACAACACCACACACACAGACTCACACAGACACACACCACACACACACACAGACTCACACACACACCACACACACACACAGACTCACTCACACACACAACACCACACACACACAGCACCACACACACAGACTCACACAGACACACAGCACCACACACACACAGACTCACTCAGACACAACACCACACACACACAGACACACAGCACCACACACACACAGACTCACTCAGACACATAGCACCACACACACACACACAGACTCACTCAGACACAACACCACACACACACAGACTCACTCAGACACAACACCACACACACACACAGACTCACACAGACACACAGCACCATACACACACAGACTCACTCAGACACCACCACACACACACAGACTCACTCAGACACAACACCACACACACACACAGACTCACACAGACACACAGCACCATACACACACAGACTCACTCAGACACAACACCACACACACACACAGACTCACTCAGACACACAACACCACACACACACACAGACTCACACAGACACACAACACCACACACACACACAGACTCACACAGACACACAGCACCACACACACAGACACAGACTCACTCAGACACAACACCACACATACAGACTCACTCAGACACACAGCACCACACACACACAGACTCACACAGACACACACCACACACACACACAGACTCACTCACACACACAACACCACACACACACAGACTCACTCACACAGATACACAACACCACACACACAGACTCACACAGACACACAGCACCACACACACACACAGACTCACACAGTTACACACCACACACAGTCACACACCACACACACAGTCACACACCACACACACAGTCACACACCACACACACCACTCACACACCACACACACAGTCACACACCACACACACACAGATTCACACAGACACACAACACCACACACACACACAGACTCACACAGACACACAACACCACACACAGACTCACACAGTCACACACCACTCACACAGTCACACACCACACACAGTCACACACACACAGTCACACACAGTCACACACCACACACACAGTCACACACCACACACACAACTCAAACACCACACACACCACACACACAGTCACACACCACACACACAGTCACACACCACTCACACAGTCACACACCACACACACAGTCACACACCACTCAAACAATCACACACCACACACAGTCACACACCACTCACACAGTCACACACACACCACACACACCACTCACACAGTCACACACATAGTCACACACCACTCACACAGTCACACACAGCCACACACCACACACACAGTTACACACCACACACAGTCACTCACACAGGGGTGGACTACCGTGGTGGTGGACTACCGTGGTGGTGGACTACCGTGGTGGTGGACTACTGTGGTGGTGGACTACTGTGGTGGTGGACTACTGTGATGGTGGTGGACTACTGTGGTAGTGGTGGACTACCGTGGTGGTGGACTACTGTGGTGGTGGACTACTGTGGTGGTGGACTACTGTGGTGGTGGACTGCTGTGGTGGTGGACTGCTGTGGTGGTGGTGGACTACTGTGGTGGTGGACTACTGTGGTGGACTATTGTTGTTGGTTCTCCCCCAGGGAGGAGCTGTCCCGTTCAGCACCACCGGAGAGTTGCAGCGCTCACAGAGCTGCAGGGAGAGCTGCTGGTGGTGGTGGTGGACGAGGAGGTGGACGAGGAGGAGGTGGACGAGGAGGAGGTGGACGAGGTGGAGGTGGACGAGAAGGAGGTGGACGAGGAGGAGGCGGGGCGCAGGAAAGTGGACGGGAAGACGGCGGTGGACGAGAGGGTGGACGAGGTGGTGGACAGGAAGGTGGTGGTGGTGGACGAGGTGGTGGACAGGAAGGTGGTGAAGGTGGTGGTGGACGAGGAGTCCGGGGAGGGGGAGGAAGATGTGGAGGTGGACAAGGAGGTGGACAAGGAGGTGGACAAGGAGGTGGACAATCGGGAGGAAGGAATGGCGGGCAGGCACCAGGTGCAAGTGGAGAGCAACCAAACGGACAACCGGCAGGAGGAGGTGGAGGAGGTGGATGTAGCAGAGAAGCCCATGAACGAGGTGGTGGTGGTGGTGGTAGTGGTGGTGGTGGTGGAGGTGGTGGTGGTGGTGGTGGAGGTGGTGGTGGTTGTGGTAGAGGAGGTGGAGGAGGTGGATGTAGCAGAGAAGCCCATGAACGAGGTGGTGGTGGTGGAGGTGGTGGTAGTGGTGGTGGTGGTGGAGGTGGTGGTGGTTGTGGTAGAGGAGGTGGAGGAGGTGGATGTAGCAGAGAAGCCCATGAACGAGGTTGTGGTGGTGGTTGTAGTGGTGGTGGTGGTGGTTGTGGAGGTGGTGGTAGAGGTTGTGGTAGAGGAGGTGGAGGTGGTGGTGAAGGTGGAGGTGGTGGTTGTGGTAGAGGAGGTGGTGGAGGAGGTGGATGTAGCAGAGAAGCCCATGAACGAGGTTGTGATGGTGGTGGTGGTGGTTGTGGAGGTGGTGGTAGAGGTGGTGGTGGTGGTGAAGGTGGTTGTGGAGGTGGTGGTAGAGGTGGTGGTGGTGAAGGTGGTTGTGGAGGTGGTGGTAGAGGTGGTGGTGGTGGTGAAGGTGGTTGTGGTGGTTGTGGTGGCGGCGGTGGTCATGGTAGGGAAGGCGGCGGCCGCTTCGACTTTGACGACGGCGGCACGTACTGCGGCCGCTGGGCCGAGGGCAAGGCCCACGGGCCGGGCGTGTGCACGGGGCCGCGGGGCCGCGGGGAGTTTGCGGGCAGCTGGCGCCGCGGCTACGAGCGCCGCGGCGTCTACACGTGGCCCGGCGGCGACGCCTACGAGGGCCGCTGGCTCCTGGGCAAGCGCCACGGCCTCGGCGCCGAGACCAAGGGCCGCCGCCGCTATCACGGCGAGTGGGCGCACGGCTTCAAGGGACGCTACGGCGAGAGTCGCAGTCTCGCCGGCGGCGGCGGCGGCGACGTCGCTGGGAGGGGCACCGCCTCCACCGCCGCCGTCACCGCCTCCACCGCCACCGTCACCGCCGCCTCCGCCGCCACCGCCTCCACCGCCACCGTCACCACCGCCTCCACCGCCACCAGCGCCAGCAGCAGCGGCAGCGACGCCGTCATCGGCACCGTCACGGGCGGTGGTGGTGGCGGTGGCGGTGGTAGTGGTGGTGGCGGTGGTGCCGGTGCCGGTGCCGGTGTCACGGTGTACCTGGGCACCTGGGCCCACGGAGTTCAGGATGGGTACGGCACCGAGACATATCCTGATGGAGGTGGGTGGGTGAGTGGGTGGGTGGTGTTTGTATGGTGGGTGGGTGTATGGTGGGTTGGTGGGTGGGTGGGTGTTTGCATGGTGGGTGGGTAGGTGAATGGTTGGGTGGGTGGTGTTTGTATGGTGGGTGGGTATATGGTGGGTTGGTGGGTGGGTGTTTGCATGGTGGGTGGGTAGGTGAATGGTTAGGTGGGTGGTGTTTGTATGGTGGGTGGGTGTATGGTGGGTGAGTGGGTGTTTGTATGGTGGGTGGGTAGGTGAATGGTTGGGTGGGTGGTGTTTGTATGGTGGGTGGGTGGGTGTTTGTATGGTGGGTGGGTAGGTGAATGGTTGGGTGGGTGGTGTTTGTATGGTGAGTGGGTATATGGTGGGTTGGTGGGTGGGTGGGTGTCTGGTCCGGCAAAACAACCCCCTACCTCCTCGCGGTGCCGGACGGGCAACTCTGTCGTGGACAGTGCTGTGGGGGGAGGGCCAATTCCGATTGGCTCCTCCCCTCATGGCGTCTGTGACCACCACACTGGATAAACGGAAGCTCTGGACGGGTGCGAGGGGCTGGTAAAATATGTAACTAATAAGCTTGTGCCGGAGGCCCCGGGGGGACAGGCGTCTATGACGTGTCCTGGCCAAACCCCATTTGGCGGAGCCAGGAGATTGAATCTCTACCCTCGGGGCTCCTCCAGAAACAACGAAAAGCCACTACGGATGGCCACGTGGAATGTTCGAACGCTCACTGCGGAGGAGAGGCTGCCACTGCTCTGTCGGGAGCTGGACCGGTACCGTCTACATAGTGACGGACCAGCGAATGCGAGCCCATGTCCTTGACACCAGGACCTACCGTGGAGCTGACCTGCCCTCTGACCATCGACTAGTCATCTGTAAGATGCGCCTGCCATTCTTCCACTCCGGTGGTGGGTGTACACCCAGGACCCCATTCCAATCTAAAGTGGCCTGGGGTTGGCATCGTCCCCCACTCCTCCTGATGTCGAGGGTAAATGGGCGAGGTTTAGGTCTGTGACTCATGCAGTTGCAATGGCTGCTTTGGGTACGCGGTCCAGACCTCCCCAGAAACCCTGGCTGACAGAGGAGGTGTTCAGGATGGTTGAGAAAAAGCGACAGGCCCACTTTCATCGGCTACAGAATCCCACGTCAGAGAATGAGGAGGCTTACCGTAGCCTTCGCTCGGAGGTTCGGAGAGCCGTGAGGCGCTGCGAGGATGGGTGGTGGTCACGGATTGCTGAGGAGATGGAGTCTGCCTCAGTGGCCCGTGATCACAAATCTCTATTTAACTCCATCAAAAAAGTAACCTGCAGCGCCACACCTATTACCATCATTAGGGGAAAAAACGGTGATCCAATCTCCAACCCCCCAAAACAGGTTTGCAGATTTACTGAGCATTTCTGTGAGGTTCCTGGGGGAGGGAAAATCCTTCAGCCAGGAAAACATCGTGGCACAAAGTGAGGATGACCCTGCTGAGGCTGCGGTACCTCAAATATTGGAAGAAGTCACCCCCTGTGAGTGGCTGGCTGAAATACCATCTGTTGAGGAAGTACTGAAGGTGATCCGGAGTTTGAGACCAGGAAAGGCAGCGGGCAGAGATGATCTCCCAAGCGAAATGCTGAGGGAGGGTGGCGTTTGTGCATAGACTGCCCTACATGACATCATAACAGTCTGGACCACTGGACGGGTTCCGCAGGATTGGAAGGATGCCCTGGTGGTCCCCCTCTTTAAGAAGGGGACCGCACAGACTGTAACAACTACAGGGGCATCTCACTCCTCAGTGTGCCGGGAAAGGTCCTGGCAAGGATTATTCAACATCGCCTTGCCAGGCACGCTGAGGAGAGGCTTGCGGAGCGCCAATGCGGTTTCAGGAAAGGGCGGCCCTGCACAGATGCCATATTTTCTGTCCGTCTGCTACAGCAGAGGTGTAGGGAATTCCAACAAGACCTACATCTCTGCTTTATTGACCTGGTCAAGGCCTATGATACCATCAGTAGGCCTGGGCTTCGTGCTTTTGGAGTCCCTGACCCTCTGGGTGGGTGTACGGTGGGTGGGTGTATGGTGGGTGGGTGTACGGTGGGTGGGTGTACGGTGGGTGGGTGTACGGTGGGTGGGTGTATGGTGGGTGGGTGTACGGTGGGCAGCATAGTGGGCGATTGCTCGTCAGTTTCAATGTCCGCCCCCCCCCTACCTTTCCTCCCACCACCTCTGCTCCACCACCTCTCCCCCCCACCACCACCACCACCACCACCTCCCCCCACCACCCCCCCACCCCCAAGGCGTCTACCAGGGCCAGTGGGTGGGCGGCGTGCGCCAGGGCTACGGCGTGCGCCGCAGCGCCCCCTACGCCGGCGCCGCCGTCATCCGCTCCCCGTTCCGCACCTCCCTCGCCTCCCTGCGCAGCGACCCGGACAACGCCGGCCTCGCTCCGCCGGCCTCGCGCCACCGGCCCCGGGGCCGCCGCGGCCGCGAGGCCGGGGGAGAGGGGGGGGGCCGCGAGGCCGCCGCCGCCGCCGCCGCCCGCCGGCGCGGCCAAGGGCGCGGCCAAGGGCGCGGCCAAGGGCGCGGCCAAGGGCGTGGCCAAGGGCGGCTTCGTGCTGACGCCGATGCCCGACGGCCCCGCCAAGAAGCGCGGCCTCTTCCGCCGCCCGTCGCTGCCCGGCGGCCTCAAGCCGCGGCGGCGGGCCGACTCGGCGGGCGAGCGGCCGCGGCGCGCGGCGGCGAGGCCGGAGGCGGGCCGCCCGGCGGGCGACGCGACCGAGTGGTACGCGGGCGAGTGGCGCGGAGACCGGCGCGGCGGGCACGGCGTGGCGCTCCGCTCGGACGGCGCTCGCTACGCGGGGCAGTGGCTGTGCAACCGGCGGCACGGCTACGGCGCGACCCGCCACCCCGACGGCACGCGGGAGGAGGGGAAGTACCGCTCGGGGGCCCTGGTGCGCGGCGTGAGCGACGCCGGGGGCCGCGGCCGCGCCGCCCGGCGCGGGGGCGGCCTCCTGGCGGCGCTGCGGTTGGGCAAGCTGAGGGGCAAGGTGGCACGAGCCACCGGCGAGGCGGAGGCCGCCGCGGCCGCCGCGCAGCAGAAGGCCGAGATCGCCGTGGCGAGGTGAGCGGAGTTCACTAAGCCAGAGACGCTGAGGGTCTGGGTTCACTCCCTGGGTCTGGGTGTCTCTCTGTCTCAGTGGGGTTCACTAAGCCAGAGACACTGAGAGTCTGGGTTCACTCCCTGGGTCTGGGTGTCTCTCTCTCAGTGGGGTTCACTAAGCCAGAGACACTGAGAGTCTGGGTTCACTCCCTGGGTCTGGGTGTCTCTCTCTCAGTGGGGTTCACTAAGCCAGAGACGCTGAGGGTCTGGGTTCACTCCCTGGGTCTGGGTGTCTCTCTCTCAGTGGGGTTCACTAAGCCAGAGACACTGAGTGTCTGGGTTCAATCCCTGGGTCTGGGTGTCTCTTTCTCAGTGGGGTTCACTAAGCCAGAGACACTGAGAGTCTCAGTTCACTCCCTGGGTCTGGGTGTCTCTCTCTCAGTGGGTTTCACTAAGCCAGAGACACTGAGGGTCTGGGTTCACTCCCTGGGTCTGGGTGTCTCTCTCTCAGTGGGGTTCACTAAGCCAGAGACACTGAGGGTCTGGATTCACTCCCTGGGTCTGGGTGTCTCTCTCTCAGTGGGGTTCACTAAGCCAGAGACGCTGAGGGTCTGGGTTCACTCCCTGGGTCTGGGTGTCTCTCTCTCAGTGGGGTTCACTAAGCCAGAGACACTGAGCGTATGGGTTCACTCCCTGGGTCTGGGTGTCTCTCTCTCAGTGGGGTTCACTAAGCCAGAGACGCTGAGGGTCTGGGTTCACTCCCTGGGTCTGGGTGTCTCTCTCTCAGTGGGGTTCACTAAGCCAGAGACACTGAGTGTCTGGGTTCAATCCCTGGGTCTGGGTATCTCTTTCTCAGTGGGGTTCACTAAGCCAGAGACACTGAGAGTCTGGGTTCAATCCCTGGGTCTGGGTGTCTCTCTCTCAGTGGGGTTCACTAAGCCAGAGACACTGAGAGTCTCAGTTCACTCCCTGGGTCTGGGTGTCTCTCTCTCAGTGGGGTTCACTAAGCCAGAGACACTGAGGGTCTGGGTTCACTCCCTGGGTCTGGGTGTCTCTCTCTCAGTGGGGTTCACTAAGCCAGAGACACTGAGGGTATGGGTTCACTCCCTGGGTCTGGGTGTCTCTCTCTCAGTGGGGTTCACTAAGCCAGAGACACTGAGGGTCTGGGTTCACTCCCTGGGTCTGGGTGTCTCTCTCTCAGTGGGGTTCACTAAGCCAGAGACACTGAGGGTCTGGGTTCAATCCCTGGGTCTGGGTGTCTCTCAGTGGGGTTCACTAAGCCAGAGACGCTGAGAGTCTGGGTTCAATCCCTGGGTCTGGGTGTCTCTCTCTCAGTGGGGTTCACTAAGCCAGAGACACTGAGGGTCTGGGTTCACTCCCTGGGTCTGGGTGTCTCTCTCTCAGTGGGGTTCACATAAGCCAGAGACGCTGAGGGTCTGGGTTCAATCCCTGGGTCTGGGTGTCTCTCAGCGGGGTTCACTAAGCCAGAGACACTGAGGGTCTGGGTTCAATCCCTGGGTCTGGGTGTCTCTCTCTCTCAGTGGGGTTCACTAAGCCAGAGACACTGAGGGTCTGGGTTCAATCCCTGGGTCTGGGTGTTTCTCTCTCAGTGTGGTTCACTAAGCCAGAGACACTGAGGGTCTGGGTTCAATCCCTGGGTCTGGGTGTCTCTCTCTCAGTGGGGTTCACTAAGCCAGAGACACTGAGAGTCTGGGTTCAATCCCTGGGTCTGGGTGTCTCTCAGTGGGGTTCACTAAGCCAGAGACACTGAGAGTATGGGTTCACTCCCTGGGTCTGGGTGTCTCTCTCTCAGTGGGGTTCACTAAGCCAGACACACTGAGAGTCTGGGTTCACTCCCTGGGTCTGGGTGTCTCTCTCTCAGTGGGGTTCACTAAGCCAGAGACACTGAGGGTCTGGGTTCACTCCCTGGGTCTGGGTGTCTCTCTCTCTCAATGGGGTTCACTAAGCCAGAGACACTGAGAGTCTGGGTTCAATCCCTGGGTCTGGGTGTCTCTTTCTCAGTGGGGTTCACTAAGCCAGAGACACTGAGGGTCTGGGTTCACTCCCTGGGTCTGGGTGTCTCTCTGTCTCAGTGGGGTTCACTAAGCCAGAGACACTGAGGGTCTAGGTTAAATCCCTGGGTCTGGGTGTCTCTCTCTCAGTGGGGTTCACTAAGCCAGATACACTGAGGGTCTGGGTTCACTCCCTGGGTCTGGGTGTCTCTCAGTGGGGTTCACTAAGCCAGAGACACTGAGGGTCTGGGTTCACTTCCTGGGTGTGGGTGTCTCTCAGTGGGGTTCACTAAGCCAGAGACACTGAGGGTCTGGGTCCAATCCCTGGGTGTGGGTGTCTCTTAGTGGGGTTCACTAAGCCCCCTCACGCCTCCCCCCAGGGCTGAACACGCGAGGTTACGCAGCGAGGCGGCGGCGGTGGTCGCCCGTGCAGCCAGGGACGACGCTCGCACGGCGAGACGCGTGGCACGCCGACTCTCACCGGGGTTCAGCCAGCCCGGTGACTTGTACACACACTCACTTACACACTCACTTACACACACACTCACTTACACACTCACTTACACACTCACTTACACACTCACTTACACACTCACTTACACACTCACTTACACACTCACTTACACACTCACTTACACACACTCACTTACACACTCACTTACACACTCACACACACACTCACTTACACACTCACTTACACACTCACTTACACACACACTTACACACACACTTACACACACTCACTTACACACTCACTTACACACTCACTTACACACTCACTCACGTATACCCTAAGTTACACACTCACTTACACACACACTTACACACACACTCACGTATACACTCACTTACACACTCACACACTCACTTACACACTCACTTACACACTCACTTACACACTCACACACTCACTTACACACTCACAAAGATAAAAACAAAGATCCCCCATATAGCCTGTAACAGACTGTAGGGGCAAGTGCTGTTAGCGAGCACCTATGAAGGCCGGAACGGTACACGAGGGGGTGGGTGGCCAGCACCACGCCAGACCGCCTTTGTCTCCCTAGTGGCAATGTTTACACACCGCACCAGGTACTCATTTGAGGCTGAGTCGACATAGGGGAGGCCCGGGACCGGTTCAGATAATCGTCACTGGTGTTGGCCGTGAGCGGGAATCGAACCCGGGTCGCCAGGTTCATAGCGCAGCGCGCTAACCGCTACACTATCGCTCCCCACTCACACACAGTCACACACACACTCACTTACACACGCACTTATACACTCACTTACACACACACACTCACACACACACTCACACACTCACTTACACATACACTTACACACTCACACACACACACTTACACACTCACTTACACACTCACACACCCACTTACACACTCACACACACACACTCACTTACACACACACTTACACACTCACACACACACACTTACACAACAACAACCGCCATTCGCCACTAAGTGGTGGTGACGTCACCACGACGCTTGTGCCAGGCTATGTGCACCCTGAGGCCACGTGAAGTGTCGAACGCCCGCTGGCAGGAGGTCACGGGGCAGACCCAGGTGCCACGGGTCGACTGACTGAGATGACTGGCCAATGCACCACCTGTGCCCCCTACTGTGGCAACCTGCTGTGCTTTAGCCACCCCGGTACAGCTATTGAAGGCTTCACGAACTACGTGGTCAAAAAAGATGTTGAATAATGTGGGAGCCAGAGGACATCCCTGTCGCACCCCAAGGTGTACAGGGAATGGCTCTGACTCCCGGCCACGTAGTTTTACCTGGGCCCGCTCACCATCGTGAAGGTCCTTAATGATCGTGAGCAGAGGGTCAGGGACTCCAAAAGCACGAAGAACGACCCAGAGCCCAGGCCTACTGATGGTATCATAGGCCTTGACCAGGTCAATAAAGCAGATGTAGATCTTGCTGGAATTCCCTACACCTTTGCTGTAGCAGACGGACAGAAAATATGGCATCTGTGCAGGACCGCCCTTTCCTGAAACCGCATTGGGGCTCCGCAAGCCTCTCCTCAGTGTGCCTGGCAAGGCGATGTTGAATAATCCTTGCCAGGACCTTTCCCGGCGCACTGAGGAGTGAGATTCCCCTGTAGTTGTTACAGTCTGTGCGGTCCCCCTTCTTAAAGAGGGGGACCACCAGGGCATCCTTCGAATCCTGCGGAACCCGTCCAGTGGTCCAGACTGTTGTTATGATGTCATGTAGGGCAGTCTGTGCACAAACGCCACCCTCCCTCAGCATTTCGCTTGGGAGATCATCTCTGCCTGCTGCCTTTCCTGGTCTCAGGCTCCGGATCGCCTTCAGTACTTCCTCAACAGATGGCACCTCAGCCAGCCACTCACAGGGGGTGACTTCTTCCAATATTTGAGGCACCGCAGCCTCAGCAGGGTCATCCCCACTTTGTGCCACGATGTTTTCCTGGCTGAGGGATTTCCCCTCCGCCCAGGACCTGGCAGAAATGCTCAGCAAATCTGCAAACCCGTTCCTGTGGGTCGGATATTGGATCACCGTTCTTTCCCCTAACGATGGTAATAGGTGTGGCGCTGCAGGTGACTTTCTTGATGGAGTTAACGGGCGCTTTGTGGTCACGGGCCTCTCGGCTAGCGAGCGGGCGACTGGTCACCCCCGGAGAGCCACACTGTGCTGACACCGCCCCTCCCTCCGTCCCTCCCCCCCCCCCTCACTCCGTCACGCCGGTCTCCCCGGACCGGCCACTCTCCTCACTCGTTGCCGGTAACCATGGCAACCTATTCCCCCATCCCCCCCCGTTGCCGTGGCGAGGGGAAGCTGGGGCGGGCCGGGAGCCTTCAACCGCACCGCTCAGCGTCTGTGTGATGCCCTTCAAAATGAGAAGTCTTTGCTCCTAGGGACTACACTCACCCCCACCCCACACCCTCCCCCCCACCCCACCCACTGTACCCCCCCACACCCCACCCACTGTACCCCCCCCACCAGGGCTGGACTACCAGCACCGGCGCCGATTGCGGGAGAGCGCCGACAGCGAGCTGGGCGGGCCGGCCTGCACCGCCGCCGCCACCACCACCACCACCGACCCGCCCACCTCGGACGCCACTCCCGGTGGGGACAGCCCTGCCCCCAGCCCCCCACCGTCACCGCAACAACAACAACGACCGCAACAACAACAACAGCCACCACCGCAGTCGCAACAACAACCGGCGGTCGGCAACAGCGTGGATGGTGGTGGCGGTGGTGGCGGTAGCGGCGCCGGCAACCGCACGTTGTGCGGTTGCCGTGGTGAGAGGGACGGACCGCGGGCGGAAGCGGTGAGGACGGCGATGGTGGTGGGCACGGTTGGCACGGTGGGGATGACCACGGTGGGCACGGTGAGGACGGTGAGGACGGTGGGCACGGTGGGCACGGTGAGGACGGTGGGCACGGTGGGCACGGTGGGCACGACCGTGGTGGGCACGGTGAGGACGGTGGGCACGGTGGGCACAGCGGCTGAGTCCACCCAGAGGAGGGAGAGGCACAACGGCCGTGAGCGGGAGATGCAGATCCGGCGCTGCAAGGGGAGAGCCGGTGAGTGGACGTGCCGGGGACAACCCACACCTCCACCCACACCTCCACCCACCTCCACCACCACCCACCTCCACCACCACCCACACATCCACCCACCTCCACTCACACGGCTCACAGACACATGATTTACTGTCATCAGAGGCGTTTACCTCGCCAGGGCAAATGCCATGGGCCAGAGAGAGGCTGGATCCCGGTAAACGGATCCTAGGACACATCCCCTGGGCCCCCGGATGGGGGCGGGGGGGAACCGGGGGAATGATGTCACCTTCCAGAAGGTTCCAGAAGGTTCCAGAACCTTCCAATAGGTTCCAGAAGGTTCCAGAAGGCTCCAGAAGGTTCCGGAACCTTCCAGAAGGTTCAAGAACCTTCCAGAAGGCTCCAGAAGGTTTCAGAACCTTCCAGAAGGTTCTAGAAGGTTCCAGAACCTTCCAGAAGGTTCCGGAAGGTTCCAGAACCTTCCGGAACCTTCCAGAACCTTCCGGAAGGTTCCAGAACCTACTGGAAGGTTCCAGAAGGTTCCAGAAGGACGTCGTGGCCAGGGCAGAGCCCCCCAATGACGGGTCTCCAAGCCGCAGCTCAGGGAGCTCTGGGCTCGGTTATCTCCACGCCGAATAGGACTCTGGACCAGGGACCAGGGAGTCGCGGGGTCAGCCAGCCCCTCCCCCAGGTCCCAGCCGGAGGGCGACCGGCAACGGGTGACCGGAGTTCGGTCCCCGGGTACTTCGGTGGCGACAGAGCCCCAGGTGAAGGAGGTCGGCGCTCGTCAGCATGTATTAGCTCCAGAATTACCGCGGTTGTCCAAGCAACGGTCGAGCGATCAGCGGAACCATAACTGATTTAATGAGCCGTTCACAGTTTCACTGTGACACTAATAAGTGCACGCATCCCCGGTATTCCGATATTCCCTTCATGCTAGCGGACCCTGTGGTGAAATACAGTAAACAACTTTCATGATTACAACACTGCAGATACGCCTCCACCTCCTCATCCACCTCCTCCACCCCCACCTGCCGTCCACACGCTCACCACGTTCACACTCACCACGTTCACTCACCACGTTCACACTCACCCACACCCTTACCTGCTGTCCACACGCTCACCACGTTCACACTCACCACGTTCACACTCACCACGTTCACACTCACCCACACCCCCACCTGCTGTCCACACGCTCACCACGTTCACACTCACCCACACCTGCTGTCCACACACTCACCACGTTCACACTCACCACGTTCACACTCACCCACACCCCCACCTGCTGTCCACACGCTCACCACGTTCACACTCACCCACACCTGCTGTCCACACACTCACCACGTTCACACTCACCACGTTCACACTCACCCCACCTGCTGTCCACACGCTCACCACGTTCACACTCACCACGTTCACACTCACCCACACCTGCTGTCCACACGCTCACCACGTTCACACTCACCCACACCTGCTGTCCACACACTCACCACGTTCACACTCACCACGTTCACACTCAACCCCACCCACACCTGCCGTCCACACACTCACCACGTTCACACTCACCCACACCCCCACCTGCTGTCCACACGCTCACCACGTTCACACTCACCACGTTCACACTCACCCCACCTGCTGTCCATTCGCTCACCACGTTCACACTCACCACGTTCACACTCACCCACACCTGCTGTCCACACGCTCACCACGTTCACACTCACCACGTTCACACTCACCACGTTCACACTCACCACGTTCACACTCACCACGTTCACACTCACCCCACCTGCTGTCCACACACTCACCACGTTCACACTCACCACGTTCACACTCACCCCACCTGCTGTCCATTCGCTCACCACGTTCACACTCACCACGTTCACACTCACCCACACCTGCTGTCCACACGCTCACCACGTTCACACTCACCACGTTCACACTCACCACGTTCACACTCACCACGTTCACACTCACCACGTTCACACTCACCACGTTCACACTCACCCCACCTGCTGTCCACACACTCACCACGTTCACACTCACCACGTTCACACTCACCACGTTCACACTCACCCCACCTGCTGTCCATTCGCTCACCACGTTCACACTCAACCCCCACCCCCAGCGCCGCCCGGCTGCCCGCCGGACGACTCGGCGACGACCCCCGACCCCCCGGCGACGACCCCTGACCCCTCGGCGACGACCCCCGACCCCTCGGCGACGACCCCCGACCCCTCGGCGACGACCCCCGACCCCCCGGCGACGTGCTGCTGCCCCGTGGACAACGCGGCGACCACGGCGACCACAGGGACCACGGTTACCACGGCGACCACGGGGACCACGGTTACCACGGCGACCACGGGGACCACGGTTACCACGGCGACCACGGGGACCACGGCAACGTCACTGCCACCGCCGGTCGGGGGGGAGGAGGTGTGGGGAGGAGGAGGAGGGGGGAGCCACCACCAGCAGCAGCACCAGCAGCACCACCAGCAGCAGCACCAGCAGCAGCATCAGCAGCAGCACCACCAGCAGCACCAGCAGCAGCACCAGCAGCAGCACCAGCAGCACCACCTCCTCCTCCTCCTCCCCCCGCCTCCTCGCCCTCCTCCGCCCCCCTCCCACCGCTGCGCCCTCCCGCCCAGGTCACGGGCCAGGAGGTCGGCCGGAGAGCCGGGACAAGCGCGGAGGGACAAGCAGCACCAGCAGGAGCAGCCCCACCAGCAGCACCAGCAGCACCAGCAGCACCAGCAGCCCCACCAGCAGGAGCAGCCCCACCAGCAGCACCAGCAGGAGCACCAGCAGGAGCACCAGCAGCACCAGCAGCACCAGCAGCACCAGCAGGAGCAGCACCAGCAGCTGTTGCTTCTGGAGCTGCAGGAGCACCAGCAGCAGCAGGAGCAGCAGCAGCAGCACCAGCAGGAGCCCCACCAGCACCAGCGGCACCAGCAGGAGCAGCACCAGCAGCTGTTGCTTCTGGAGCTGCAGGAGCACCAGCAGCACCAGCAGCAGTTGCAGCAGCGAGGGGCGGTGCTCCAGGCGAAGTCGCGAGCCTCACAACGCAGGCGCCTCGTGCGGCAGGCCGAGGTGGCCCTGGCCGACGGCGATGGCGGCGGCGGCGGTGGCGACGCCAAGAACGCCGTGAGTTGGAGTGACGAGCAGCGGCGGTAGTGGCGGCAGCGGCGGCAGCGGCGGCGACTATTCAACTGCGCTCGCTCGCCCGCTCTATTCGCTCATTCACCCAGTCACTCGCTCGCTCATTCACTCAGTCAGTCTCTCGCTCGCTCATTCACTCAGTCGCTCGCTCACTCACTCAGTCACTCGCTCGCTCATTCACTCAGTCGCTCACTCAGTCGCTTGCTCTCTCGCTCGCCCACTCACTCGTTCACTAACTCACTCGCTCGCTCATTCACTCAGTCTCTCGCTCGCCCACTCACTCGTTCACTAACTCACTTGCTCGCTCATTCACTCAGTCACTCGCTCGCTCATTCACTCAGTCACTCGCTCGCTCACTCACTCAGTCGCTCGCTCAGTCGCTTGCTCTTTCGCTCGCCCACTCACTCGTTCACTAACTCACTCGCTCGCTCGTTCACTCAGTCACTCGCTCATTCACTCAGTCGCTCGCTCAGTCGCTGGCTCAGTCGCTTGCTCTCTCGCTCGCCCACTCACTCGTTCACTAACTCACTCGCTCGCTCGTTGTGTACAGCTGTTGTTGTTGTGTACAGCTGTTGTTGTGTTGTTGTTGTTACGTAGTTGTTGTTGTGTTGTTGTTGTATTGTAGTTGTTGTTGTGTAGTTGTTGTTGTGTAGTTGTTGTTGTGTTGTTGTTGTGTTGTTGTTATGTAGTTGTTGTTGTGTTGAGTGATTAGCTGAGTGATTAGCTTGTGACTGGTCCCAGAAATGGCTATGTTAAAGTCAAAGCATACACATCCACAGAGGCACCCCTTGACAAAGGAATTAGCATATAATTTAGCATTGAAATAGCTGAGTAATTAGCTTGTGACTGGTCACAGAAATGGCTATGTTAAAGTCAAAGCATACACATTCACAGAGGCACCTAGTACAAATCAAACAGGAGAATTTAGCATTGAAATAACTGAGGGATTAGCTTGTGACTGGTCATTGAAATAGTTATGTTAAAGTCAAAGCCTACACATCTACAGAGGCACCTAATACAAATCAAACAGGAGAATTTAGCATTGAAATAACTGAGTGATTAGCTTGTGACTGGTCACAGAAATGGCTATGTTAAAGTCAAAGCCTACACATCTGAGCTATTAACAGTAACTGGGTATACACTACACTATATAATGAATACTATATAGTGAACCAATCAAAAACTAAAATATAAATTTCATCAATGTTATCAATAAACTATATATTCTCCAATCAGCTGAGCTACCAACAATAAGTCGTTATATATCACAATGCTATATGGCGAAACAAAAAATGGGTGGATTCTTACCCTCAACTTTAGCACCACGGATAGCTACGGGCCCCGTTCAGACGGACGAGTTCATCCATGGTCGGAACGGAAGAGGGGGAGAGAGACAGCTGCGAGGCGCTGTTATACTCCATGTTGTAAACCATACCATTAACCGTGGTGTGAGAGGTATTAAGAGTCAATGCCAGCGAAAGAGCTGCGGTCTGAAGGTCATCGTAAAATACAATAAATTAGGAACGGAAATGGTTTAAAACATCTTTCCATTGGTTACTAAGCCAGAATCCATCTTCTCGGTTGAAATTGTCTCTGTGCTTGTATATGTGAATGGCCTCTTGAACGAATCTCTCATGGTAGCCGGTTGCAAAGAACCTCCGTCTTGGAGAAGTCAATGTCATGTGAGCCCACTGAATTATAACAGTGATCTGCCACGGCAGAGGAGTTCGTTCTACCATGTTTCAAGTCTGCTTCATGTTCGCGGATGCGGTCCGAAATATATCGTTTGGTTTCTCCAATGTAGCTACTACCACAGAGGCACTTTAGTTTGTAAATGCCCGGGTACTGTATGTCTGGAACAGAATCTTTTACAGATGGAACCAGATCACGGATTTTATGTACTGTGTTGAATCGGACCTGGATCTTGTGTTTATTCAGGATTTTGGAGATATTTTTAGTGACCCCTGCAATGTAGGGTAAGGTGATGGTTTTGAGTGGCTCCACAAGAGGATCCTTCTTCATGACTGGAGTGATAGCTTTGCGGATTGTGTAGTTGGAGTAACCATTAGCCCTGAGAGCCTGGTGTACGTGCTTGAGTTCACTGGTAATGTGTTCCTGGTCGGAAATGCATTGGGCTCTATGGTATAGAGTCTTGATGAGAAAGTTCTTCTGGGATGGATGGTGGTGGGAATCCGGTTTCAAGTAAGCATCTGTATGGGTAGCTTTCCTGTAGACAGAGTGGCTCATTGAACCATCATGTCTCCTTTTAATTAAGACATCCAAAAAGGGTAGTTTGCCATCTTTTTCGACCTCCATGGTAAATCTGATGGCTGGGTGTATGGAATTGATGTGGTCGCGGAATTGGTCTAGAGCAGGCTGGCCATGTGGCCAGATGACAAAAGTGTCATCCACGTACCTCTTCCATAAGGTCGGGCGTAGAGTGGCAGTCTGGATGGCGTCAGTTTCAAATGTTTCCATGAATACGTTGGCTACAACCAGAGATAGGGGGGAGCCCATTGGGGTGCCCTCAGTTTGTTTGTAGAAAGTTCAATTTCAGGTGAAGTATGTGTTGGTTAAGCAATGTCTCACCAGGGGGGGTACATCAGTATGCAGTCCTTGATGAACCAGGTCTTCAATGATAGTGATGGTGTCAGGTACCGGGACTTTGGTGAACAAGGACACCACATCAAAACTGACATGCAGGTCGTCCGGGGACAGGGAAATGCCTTTGATTGTCGATGCCAGGTGAGTAGAATTTAGTACCGCAGAGGTGTTTTTTCCAGTGAAAGGTCGCAGTATACCAGCAAGAAAACGTGCCAGTTTATAGGTGGGGGAGTTGATAGTCGAGACGAGGGGACGAAGGGGTGTATCTTCTTTGTGTATCTTTGAAAGGCCATATAATCTTGGTGGTCTGGCAGCAGAGGTTTTCAACGAGAACTGTTTGGTCTGATCAATTAATGCTGTTGAATCGGAGATGATTTTGTTCGTTTTGGTAACCAGGCTGTTGGTGGGATCTCTTTATTTTTGTGTAGCTGCCATCGTTGAGTAGTTCTTGAATTTTGTTGTTATATTCTGTTTTGTCCATGATGACAGTGGCATTGCCTTTGTCGGCTGAGAGGACGACAATATCATCCCTCTTTTTTAATTGAGATAATTCAAAACGTTCGTCTTTGCTGATGTTGCTAGGTGGCAACTTAGCGTTTTTGAGGGTTGCAGCGATTTCAGATCTTGCTACGTCTGCAGAGATGTGACTCAAGCCCTTGAGTGCAACGTCGACATGGGCAATGATATCATTAACCGGTATGTGTCTCGGTGTGACAGCAAAGTTTAGACCTTTAGCTAAAACGGATTTCAGACCATCAGAAATGGCACTGTTACTGCGATTAATTACGACTTTGTTGACGTCTATCTTTTTGGTGTGTGGGTCCGATTTTTTGTTGGAGAGGTGATTGAATTTGGAAATCAAATTGTCCCTACATTTGGTCGACATAGTGGCAGCCGAAGAGGTAGTCATATTGTCTACATGTTCCCAATCCGATGTAGACATTGTTGCTGTCAATGTTAAGTGTGATTTGTAGAGTGTCTTGTCTAACTGATCGAGTTCGGTGCGTGTAAGTCTGATTTTTTCCGAGATAAGAGCGAAGCTAGTTCTAGCTAGAATTCGTTTTGCATTGAGAGAAGTTGCAACAGCAGAGGTTAGTGTAAATGCGGTTGGTATTACCTTAGAGTCGCGGCATTTCTTCAGAAAGGTGAGAGACTCGATTAGTTGAGCCTTCTTATCCCAGAGTCTGTTGAATGATCTTAAGGTTGTGTGGAATCCCTCCCCGTAGAGGCGGTTACATTTCGATTTAAAGCTTTCGTAACTGCAAGGATTCATCTTCTTTGGTTCTTTCGGTAAAGTCACGTAGAATGAGAATATTATTGTGTTATTTTATTTTATCAATTTATTATTTTATTCTCATTCTACGTGAATTTACCGAAAGAACCAAAGAAGATGAATCCTTGCAGTTAGTAGTAGTAGCTATATTGGAGAAACTAAACGACATATTTCGGACCGCATCCGCGAACATAAAGCAGACTTGAAACACGGTAGAACGAACTCCTCTGCCGTGGCAGATCACTGTTATAATTCAGTGGGCTCACATGACATTGACTTCTCCAAGACGGAGGTTCTTTGCAAACCAACCGGCTACCATGAGAGATTCATTCATGAGGCCATTCACATATACAAGCACAGAGACAATTTCAACCGAGAAGATGGATTCTGGCTTAGTAACCATTGGAAAGATGTTTAAACCATTTCCGTTCTTAATTAATTGTATTTTACGATGACCTTCAGACCGCAGCTCTTTCGCTGGCATTGACTCTTAATACCTCTCACACCACGGTTAATGGTATGGTTTACAACATGGAGTATAACAGCGCCTCGCAGCTGTCTCTCTCCCCTTCCTCCGTTCCGACCATGGATTAACTCGTCCGTCTGAACGGGGCCCGTAGCTATCTGTGGTGCTAAAGTTGAGGGTAAGAATCCACCCATTTTTTTCGCCATATAGCATTGTGATATATAACGACTTATTGTTGGTAGCTCAGCTGATTGGAGAATATATAGAGTCTATTGATAACATTGAGGTAATTTATATTTTAGTTTTTTATTGGTTTACTATATAGTATTCATTATATAGTGTAGTGTATACCCAGTTACTGTTAATAGCTCAAATGTGTAGGCTTTGACTTTAACATAGCCATTTCAATGACCAGTCACAAGCTAATCCCTCAGTTATTTCAATGCTAAATTCTCCTGTTTGATTTGTACTAGGTGCCTCTGTGAATGTGTATGCTTTGACTTTAACACAGCCATTTCTGTGACCAGTCACACGCTAATCACTCAGCTATTTCAATGCTAAATTCTATGCTAATTCCTTTGTCAAGGGGTGCCTCTGTGGATGTGTGTGCTTTAACTTTAACATAGCCATTTCTGTAACCAGTCACAAGCTAATCACTCAGCTATTTCAATGCTAAATTCTATGCTAATTCCTTTGTCAAGGCGCTTTGTTTCTTCTCACACAGCTTAAAGGTCGTGATCTGAGCGTGGCTTTTTTCACTCCAGCGCTGTCCTCCAGACAGTCTCGTCCCTTCACCTGATGAAGGCCGCTTGTGTTGTGGCCGAAACGTCGTGAGAATTTTATTGTTATTTTATTTTATCAATTTATTATTATTTTATTCTCATTCTACGTGACTTTACCGAAAGAACCAAAGAAGATGAATCCTTGCAGTCACGAAAGCTTTAAATCGAAATGTTGTTGTTGTTGTTTACAGCAGTGCTGTAGCTCCGTGCTGGTGGTGCTGTGTACAGCTGTTGTTGTAGTTGTTGTGTAGTTGTTGTTGTGTTGTTGTTGTGTTGTTGTTGTGTTGTTGTGTAGTTGTTGTGTAGTTGTTGTTGTGTAGTTGTTGTTGTGTAGTTGTTGTTGTGTAGTTGTTGTTGTGTAGTTGTTATGCAGTTGTTGTGTAGTTGTTGTGTAGTTGTTCTTGTGTAGTTGTTGTTGTTGTGTAGTTGTTGTTGTGTAGTTGTTGTTGTGTAGTTGTTGTTGTGTAGTTGTTGTTGTGTAGTTGTGTAGTTGTTGTTGTGTAGTTGTTGTTGTTGTGTAGTTGTTGTTGTGTAGTTGTTGTTGTGTAGTTGTTGTTGTGTAGTTGTTGTTGTGTAGTTGTTGTGTAGTTGTTGTTGTTGTGTAGTTGTTGTTGTGTAGTTGTTGTTGTGTTATGCAGTTGTTGTGTTGTTGTGGTGTTGTTGTTGTGTAGTTGTTGTTGTGTAGTTGTTGTTGTGTAGTTGTTGTTGTGTTGTTGTTGTGTAGTTGTTGTGTAGTTGTTGTTGTTGTGTAGTTGTTGTGTAGTTGTTGTTGTGTAGTTGTTGTTGTGTTGTTGTGTAGTTGTTGTTGTGTTGTTGTGTAGTTGTTGTGTAGTTGTTGTTGTGTAGTTGTTGTTGTGTAGTTGTTGTGTAGTTGTTGTTGTGTAGTTGTTGTTGTGTTGTTGTAGTTGTTGTAGTTGTTGTGTAGTTGTTGTGTTGTTGTGATGTTGTTGTTTACAGCAGTGCTGTAGCCCCGTGCTGGTGGTGCTGTGTACAGCTGTTGTTGTTGTGTAGTTGTTGTAGTTGTTGTAGTTGTTGTGTTGTGTAGTTGTTGTAGTTGTTGTGTTGTTGTGTAGTTGTGTAGTTGTTGTTGTTGTGTAGTTGTTGTGTTGTAGTTGTTGTGTAGTTATTGTTGTGTAGTTGTGTAGTAGTTGTTGTTGTTTACAGCAGTGCTGTAGCCCCGTGCTGGTGGTGCTCGCCGTGCTGGTGGTGCTGTGTACAGCTGTTGTTGTTGTTGTGTTGTTGTTGTTGTGTAGTTGTGTTGATGTTGTTGTTGTTGTTTACAGCAGTGCTGTAGCCCCGTGCTGGTGGTGCTCGCCGTGCTGGTGGTGCTGTGTACAGCTGTTGTTGTTGTGTTGTTGTTGTGTTGTTGTTGTTGTTGTTGTTGTTGTTGTTTACAGCAGTGCTGTAGCCCCGTGCTGGTGGTGCTCACCGTGCTGGTGGTGCTGTGTACAGCTGTTGTTGTTGTGTTGTTGTTGTTGTGTAGTTGTGTTGTTGTTGATGTTGTTGTTGTTTACAGCAGTGCTGTAGCCCCGTGCTGGTGGTGCTCGCCGTGCTGGTGGTGCTGTGTACAGCTGTTGTTGTTGTGTTGTGTAGTTGTTGTTGTTGTGTAGTAGTTGTTGATGTTGTTGATGTTGTTGTTGTTTACAGCAGTGCTGTAGCCCCGTGCTGGTGGTGCTCGCCGTGCTGGTGGTGCTGTGTACAGCTGTTGTTGTGTTGTTGTTGTTGTGTAGTTGTTGTTGTGTTGTTGTTGTGTAGTAGTTGTTGTGTTGTTGTTGATGTTGTTGTTGTTTACAGCAGTGCTGTAGCCCCGTGCTGGTGGTGCTCGCCGTGCTGGTGGTGCTGTGTACAGCTGTTGTTGTTGTAGTTGTTGTGTTGTTGTTGTTGTTGTGTAGTTGTTGTTGTGTTATTGTGTAGTAGTTGTTGTTGTTTACAGCAGTGCTGTAGCCCCGTGCTGGTGGTGCTCGCCGTGCTGGTGGTGCTGTGTACAGCTGTTGTTGTGTAGTTGTTGTGTTGTTGTTGTGTAGTTGTGTTGTTGTTGTTTACAGCAGTGCTGTAGCCCCGTGCTGGTGGTGCTGTGTACAGCTGTTGTTGTTGTGTTGTGTAGTTGTTGTGTTGTTGTGTAGTTGTGTAGTTGTTGATGTTGTTGTTGTTTACAGCAGTGCTGTAGCCCCGTGCTGGTGGTGCTCGCCGTGCTGGTGGTGCTGTGCACAGCTGTTGTTGTTGTAGTTGTTGTTGTGTAGTTGTGTTGATGTTGTTGTTGTTGTTTACAGCAGTGCTGTAGCCCCGTGCTGGTGGTGCTCGCCGTGCTGGTGGTGCTGTGTACAGCTGTTGTTGTTGTGTTGTTGTTATGTAGTTGTTGTGTTGTTGTGTAGTTGTTGTTGTTGTTTACAGCAGTGCTGTAGCCCCGTGCTGGTGGTGCTCGCCGTGCTGGTGGTGCTGTGTACAGCTGTTGTTGTTGTTGTTGTGTAGTTGTTGTGTTGTTGTGTAGTTGTGTAGTTGTTGTTGTTGATGTTGTTGTTGTTTACAGCAGTGCTGTAGCCCCGTGCTGGTGGTGCTCGCCGTGCTGGTGAACCTGGGGCTGGCGCTGCTGCTGCACCGCCTGCTCAGCTGACGAGGTGTGGCCAGAGGCAGCCTGGGGACGAGGACGAGGTGGACGAGGTGTTGGTGGTGGACAAGGTGCTGGTGGTGGACGAAGAGGAGGTGGTGGTGGACGAGGTGCTGGTGGACGAGGTGCTGGTGGTGGACGAAGAGGAGGTGGTGGTGGACGAGGTGCTGGTGGTGGACGAGGTGCTGGTGGATGAGGTGCTGGTGGTGGACGAAGAAGAGGTGGACGAGGTGCTGGTGGACGAGGTGCTGGTGGACGAAGAAGAGGTGGACGAGGTGCTGGTGGTGGACGAGGTGCTGGTGGTGGACGAAGAAGAGGTGGACGAAGTGGTGGTGGTGGACGAGATGGTGGACGAGGTGGCTGGCACCGGCCACCATGGACCCACGTGGCCACCTCAGCTAGCACGTGGTCCGCTCATCGATACGCCCCCACTGTACGATACGCCCCTACTGTATGATACGCACCTACTGTACGATACGCACCTACTGTACAACACACCTACTGTACGATACACACCTACTGTATGCACCTATTGTACGATACGCACCCACTGTACGATACGCACCCACTGTACGATACGCGCCCACTGTACGATACGCCCCTACTGTACGATACGCCCCTACTGTAAGATACGCGCTACTGTATGATACACCCCTACTGTATGATACGCCCCTACTGTATGATACGCCCCTACTGTACGATACGCCCCTACTGTACGATACGCCCCTACTGTACGACACACCTACTGTACAACACGCCCCTACTGTATGACACGCCCCTACTGTACGATACGCCCCTAGGGGGAGCGGTGGTGTAGCGGTTAGCGCTACGTCGCGATTTGAACCCAGCCACGACCCCAGTTCGATTCCCGCTCACGGCCACCAACACCGGTGGCGATTATCTGAACCGGTCCTGGGCCTCCCCTAGGTCGACTCGGCCTCAAGTGAGTACCTCGTGCGGTGTGTAGTGAACATCGCCACTGGGGAGACAAAGGCGGCCGGGCGTGGTGCTGGCCACCCACCCCCTCGTGTGCCGTGCCGGCCTTCACAGGTGCTGCTCGCTAACAGCACTTGCCCCTACAGTCTGTTCAGGCTACACGGGGGATCTTTGTCTCTGTCCGTGTGTGTGTGTGGATGTCTGTGTTTGTGTGTTTCTCTGTGTGTCTTTGTGTGGTTTGTGATGTCGAGGGTAAATGGGCGAGGTTTAGGACTGTGACTCATGCAGCTGCTATGGCTGTTTTGGGTACGCGGTCCAGACCTCCCCAGAGACCCTGGCTGACAGAGGAGGTGTTCAGGATGGTTGAGAAAAAGCGACAGGCCCACTGTCATCGGCTACAGCATCCCACGTCAGAGAATGAGGAGGCTTACCGCAGCCTTCGCTCGGAGGTTCGGAGAGCCGTGAGGCGCTGCAAGGATGGGTGGTGGTCGCGGGTTGCTGAGGAGATGGAGTTTGCCTCAGTGGCCCGCAATCACAAATCGCTCTTTAATTCCATCAAAAAAGTAACCTGCAGCGCCACACCTATTACCATCATTAGGGGAAAAAACGGTGATCCAATCTCCAACCCCCAGGAACACGTTTGCAGATTTGCTGAGCATTTCTGTGAGGTCCTGGGGGAGGGGTAATCCCTCAGCCTGGAAAACATCTTGACCTGGTCAAGGCCTATGATACCATCAATAGGCCTGGGCTCTGGGTTGTTCTTCGTGCTTTCGGAGTCCCTGACCCTCTGCTCATGATCATTAAGGACCTTCATGATGGTGAGTGGGCCTGGGTAAAACTATGTGGCCGGGAGTCGGAGCCATTCCCTGTACACCTTGGGGTGCGACAGGGATGTCCTTTGGCTCCCACATTATTTAACATCTATTTTGACCACGTAGTTCGTGAAGCCTTAGATGGCTGTACCGGAGGAATTTCCATCTGGTACAGATGCAATGGGAGGCTGATCGATGCCCGGGTGCGGTCAAGGGATGGCTCCCTATTGCTCAACCACGTTATGTATGCCGATTATCTGGTAATAGCTGCTCACTCAGAGGAGGAGTTGGAGACGCTGCTGCTGAACCTGGAGCTTGCCACTAAGAGGTGGGGCCTTACCATCAGCCCCATCAAAACTAAGCACTTGCCAGGGTATTTTGTACAATCGGACACCACCCCCACAACTCCCAATCGGCGATGGGGCAGTTGTGGAGAGAGTGGAGAGTTTCCCATACCTGGGCAGTGTGCTTATGACTGGCTCCAGTATAACAGCAGAGGTCTCACTCAGAATCAGTCGAGCGGCAATATCTTTTCATCGGTTGCGTAACGCTGTGTGGAAGCTACCTGGTCTGTCGCTCCGCACTAAGCTTCAGGTCTTCTCGGCCACGGTCATTCCCTCCCTTCTCTACGCTTGCGAAATGTGGACCCCCCTAATGGAACATCTTTGCCGGTTAGAAACATTTAGGCTAGCCTGCCTATGATCCATCCTGGGTTTAACCAGGTTGGATTGTGTGAGGAGCTCACAAATCCTTTAAAGATCTGGACAAAGTCCCATCGGTGAGCTCCTCCAGCAGGCAAGGCTGCGTTGGCTGGGTCATGTCGCCCGCATGCCCAGCCACCGCATGCCGAAACAGCTTTTGTTAGGCCAGATCGAGGAGGCTAAACGGGCGCGGCACGGGCTAGAGAATAGATGGAGTGATGTGGTACAGGAGGACGTGGAGCTGAGTGGACTTGCCGATGACTGGTACCAGCGGTGTCAAGATCGGCCTCTGTGGAGGAGGCTCGTGAAGGATGCTACTGGGCAGTTGGAGGCAGTCGCCCTCCAACAACAACGGAGGGCAAAGGAGCGACGCTCACAACAACGAGCGGAGTGCCGGGTGGCTAAAGCACAGCAGGTTGGCACAGTAGGGGGCACAGGTGGTGCATTAGCCAGTCATCTCAGTCAGTCGACCTGTGGCACCTGGGTCTGCCCCGTGACCTGCCAGCGGGATTTCGACACTTCACGTGGCCTCAACGTGCACATAGCCTGGCACAAGCGTCGTGGTGGCGAATGGCGGTTGTTGATGTGTGTACATGTGCGTGTGAGGATGTCTGTCTCTCTGTCTGTGTGTCTCTGTACGTCTGTCTGTGTCTGTCTCTGTGTGTCTCTGTCTCTGTGTGTCTCTGTGTGTGTCTCTCTCTCCGTCTCTGTGTCTCTCTGTGTGTGTGTCTCTGTGTGTGTGTGTGTCTCTGTCTCTGTGTGTGTCTGTGTCTCTCTGTCTCTGTGTGTGTGTCTCTGTGTCGCTGTCTCTGTGTGTCTCTGTCTCTGTGTGCCTCTCTGTCTGTGTCTCTGTGTGTGTGTCTGTGTCTCTATGTGTCTCTCTGTCTGTGTGTCTCTGTCTCTGTGTGTGTCTGTGTCTCTGTGTGTATCTGTCTCTGTGTCTCTCTGTCTCTGTGTGTCTCTGTGTCTCTGTCTGTGTGTCTCTGTCTGTGTGTCTCTGTGTCTCTGTCTCTGTGTGTCTCTGTGTGCCACTCTGTCTGTGTCTCTGTCTCTGTGTGTCTCTGTCTGTGTGTCTCTCTGTCTCTGTGTCTGTGTTATTGTGGGGAGCGGTGGCGCAGCGATTAGCGCTATGGTGAACCCAAGTTCGATTCCCGCTCACGCCCTCCCCTAGGTCGACTCAGCCTCAAATGAGCAGTATGGTGTAGCGGTGTGCAGTAAACATTGCCACTGGGGAGACAAAGGCGGCCGGGAGTGGTGCTGGCCACCCACCCCCTCGTAGCCTTCACAGGTGCTGTGAGTAGCAAAGACAAAGATCCCCCGTGTAGCCTCTAGCAGGGCTGTAGGGGCAAGTGCTGTCAGTAGCAGCAGCGCCAGTGAAGGCTACCGGCACTGTGGCACACGAGGGGGTGGGTGGCGGTGATGCCGGTACACACACACAGTGTACACACACAGTGTACACACACACACACACAGTGTACACACACACACACAGTGTACACACACACACACAGTGTACACACACACAGTGTACACACAGTGTACACACACACACAGTGTACACACAGTGTACACACACACACAGTGTACACACAGTGTACACACACACAGTGTACACACACACACACAGTGTACACACAGTGAACACACACACAGTGTACACACACACAGTGTACACACACACAGTGTATATGAGTCGGTGTGTACTACAGAGGACGTGTGTGTGTGGTGTATCTATACAGAATATTTATATAGAAGAGTGATGGATTATTGGACATTAAAATATAAAAAAAACAGTCCAGGAGGTGGCTGGCAGGTGAACGCTTTTATTTAATTATCACACCACACACACACTACACTATTCAAACATACACACCCCGACACACACACCCTGACACGCACACACACACCCTGACACGCACACACACACCCTGACACGCACACACACACCCTGACACGCACACACACACCCTGACACGCACACACACACCCTGACACGCACACACACACCCTGACACGCACACACACACCCTGACACGCACACACACACCCTGACACGCACACACACACCCTGACACGCACACACACACCCTGACACGCACACACACACCCTGACACGCACACACACACCCTGACACGCACACACACACCCTGACACGCACACACACACCCTGACACGCACACACACACCCTGACACGCACACACACACCCTGACACGCACACACACACCCTGACACGCACACACACACCCTGACACGCACACACACACCCTGACACGCACACACACACCCTGACACGCACACACACACCCTGACACGCACACACACACCCTGACACGCACACACACACCCTGACACGCACACACACACCCTGACACGCACACACACACCCTGACACACACACACACACACCCTGACACACACACACACACACCCTGACACACACCCTGACACACACTCCCTGACACACCCCCTGACACACACAATCAGCACCACAACCAATGGGCCTGACCCCTGACCCCGATTTAAAACTCGTGGCGATGTTCTCATTGGCACAGCGGCTGTGCACGAGATCGCTCACTGGCGCCACCTGGCCCGTCGCAGATGATAGCAGCTCACACACACAATCACACAATCACACACACAATCACACACACAATCACACACACAATCACACACACACATTCACACACACACGCATCCACACAGACACATTCACACACACGCATCCACACAGACACATTCACACACTCACACACACACAATCACACACACACAGTCACCGTCACCACGTGGACATTGACATCAGCGGCCTTGTAGTCTGTGGCCCGCTTCCGGTGGCGGCGGTCTCAGCTGCTGGCGCCGGTGGTGGCGCCGGTGGTGGTGGTGGTGGTGGCGGTGGCGATGATGCTGGCAGCGGCGGTGGTGGTGGTGATGGTGTTGGCGGTGGTGGTGGCGATGATGCTGGCAGCGGCGGTGGTGGTGGTGGTGATGGTGTTGGCGGTGGTGGTGTTGGCGGTGGTGGTGGTGGTGTTGGCGGTGGTGGTGGTGGTGGTGTTGGCGGCGGTGGTGGCGGTGGTGGTGTTGGCGGCGGTGCCGGCGGTGGCGGCGGTGGTGGCGGTGGTGGCGGTGGTGGCAGCGGTGCCGGCGGTGGCGGCGGCACCGGTGGCGGTGGCGTGGAAGGCGAGCGCCATGGCGTGTGCCACGCGTGCCACCTTCGATTCGCGGGCGGCGTCCCCCATGTGGCGGCGGGCGCAGCGCCGCCAGTAGCCGGCGGTGCGGGCGGCGTAGGCCGCAGCCTCCTCACCGGCGGCGTGCACGCACGGACGCGCTCCTACGGGCAGCGGGGTCGTGGTCAGCGGTGTCATCGTCAGTGGTGTCATCGGCAGCAGTAGTGTCATCAGTGGTGTCATCATCAGTAGTGTCATCATCAGTGGTGTCATCGGCAGCAGTAGTGTCATCAGTAGTGTCATCGTCATCAGTGTCATCAGTAGTGTCATCAGCAGTGTCATCGTCATCAGTGTCATCAGCGGTGTCATCGTCATCGGTAGTGTCATCAGCGGGGTCGTCGTCAGCGGTGTCATCATCAGTGGTGTCATCGTCAGCAGTAGTGTCATCAGTAGTGTCATCGTCAGCAGTGTCATCGTCAGCAGTGTCATCAGTAGTGTCATCGTCAGCAGTAGTGTCATCAGCGGTGTCATCGTCAGCAGTGTCATCAGTAGTGTCATCGTCAGCAGTAGTGTCATCAGTAGTGTCATCGTCAGCAGTGTCATCAGTAGTGTCATCATCAGTAGTGTCATCAGTAGTGTCATCGTCAGCAGTAGAGTCATCAGTAGTGTCATCAGTAGTGTCATCGTCAGCAGTGTCATCAGCGGTGTCATCATCAGTAGTGTCATCGTCAGCAGTAGTGTCATCAGCGGTGTCATCGGCAGCAGTGTCATCAGTGGTGTCATCAGCGGTGTCATCAGCGGTGTCATCGTCAGTAGTGTCATCAGCAGTGTCATCGTCAGCAGTGTCATCAGCGGTGTCATCGTCAGCAGTGTCATCAGTAGTGTCATCGTCAGCAGTGTCATCGTCAGCAGTGTCATCATCAGCAGTGTCATCAGCGGTGTCACCGTCATCAGTAGTGTCATCAGCGGTGTCATCAGCGGTGTCATCGTCATCGGTGTCATCAGTAGTGTCATCAGCAGTGTCATCATCATCAGTGTCATCAGCGGTGTCATCGTCATCGGTAGTGTCATCAGCGGGGTCGTCGTCAGCGGTGTCATCATCAGTGGTGTCATCGTCAGCAGTAGTGTCATCAGTAGTGTCATCGTCAGCAGTGTCATCGTCAGCAGTGTCATCAGTAGTGTCATCGTCAGCAGTAGTGTCATCAGCGGTGTCATCGTCAGCAGTGTCATCAGTAGTGTCATCGTCAGCA